ATTCTTTTGAAAAAGAAATTGATTGTGGCCTGAATGGGTCCTCCCTTGATCCTTTCTTTCCACCGTGATCTTTTCCAGTGTCACCTTTATGGCTTGCCGTCCGTCTCCTTCTACATGAGGTTCAGAGGAAGTCACTTCGGCAGCCCAGTGGGAATCACACTGCCATAATCAGCTAAAATCCTGTGGCACAGAAGCCACCGCGATGAAACGAGGCTTATTTGGCAAGCAACTTTGAAACTTTATCTGTTTTGGTGATCGACATACTTTCTAACCAGATGCCATTGGAAAATAATTTCCTCTCTCATGGGTTTTTTTTTTCCTAGTAAGGAGCACCTTAAGACATGGGCAGGGTTAGATTCTGCTAGTCAGTCAGAGGACCAGTTGACAATGAACAACTAACATTTTACTTAAACATCACATTGTATGAATAGATTATAAGAGCGGTCTCTCTTTACAAGCACCTTGGCCCAAAGGCTTAATTGCAGAACAATTATTTCAAAAGCCACCAGCTTTCTTTCTCTTCATACTTTTTTTCCCCCTTTGTCCAACTGACCAGTGCCTCTCTCCTCTCTCAAGTCAGCACCAGTTCCCTTAATTTTCCATATTGGTCTTTGGCCTTATAAAGATCCAAGTTGATTGGCTCCCTTAGTTTTCTGCACACATTCCTCAGAAGGGCTCTTTTCCTCTTTTACTTTAGGAGGAAATGCCTCCTAAAGGATCACAACTCTTGAGCCAAATAGGATTGGAAATGAGCTAAACTGGAGCCAAGTGGCCACAAAGGACTTGCTTTGCCATCTGATATTTCTGTTGAATCTGCACGATCAGCAGAGCTTTGCTGCAAGAAATCCCTCCAGCCACCATCTTGCTGCAGGTGCCCCTTTCTGTGACTATTTTGTCCCGTTGGTTTCCAGAAAGCTGCTAGAAACAGAAATGCCAGCCTTTCCAAGAGTTCAATGCATGGACCCATCTTTTGTTTCCTTTTTATATAGTGTCTTTTACACTGAAGTTTATGATAGAGATTTAGTTAGGATCAAAGTCTAGATGTTTTATGTTTTTTATACAATCTATCACATAACCTGCTGAGGCTCATAGCACTGAGGGGGATACAAACTTCAGGGAGTAAATAAATGTACCAAAAAAGGCCAGGAATGATTCACTACAAAATCTCGCATGGTACTGTAGCGCCTCCTACAGTATCTGATAAACTGAATCCTTCTTGAGAGGCCTGACAAACGGAATCCAGTTTTTTATTTTCCCGAAACTTGTGACAGCCTACGTACCCAAAGGTACAACTGATCAGAGGTTAAGACTGCACCTTTATTCCCACTAGGTTGAACAGGAAGACAAATTAAGCTCCCAAAAACTTTCTGATTTCACTGGCCTGCAAGGAGAAAGCCTCAGAAATGAAAGTAGCTTAATTTTACCAGAATTGGGTCACTAATAAAGGAAAATTTAAGTCCGGAGTTGGCTCCAGTTTCCAAGATACAGCTTCAAGTCAAAATTTCATCAAAATAATTCAAAACTACAAGGGGGATGTGCGACTATGCTCCATAACTTTTCTGCAAAATGTGATACATAGCGATGGGAATGGTGCCACACCAATCATTATAAATTCATCTTTTTATTAATACCAATAACTTTACATTCATATATTGGCTTCTCATGTAACCTTTTCATGCTTTTTGCATGAAAAACTGACAAGCTCCAACATCAGATGACACAACAAGGTTCCATTTTTATTCGGTCTCTAAACCACACTTTTTGGCTTTTCTTTTGTGAGCTGCAGTAGGATCATCCCTGGGGAGATTCCAACAATAATCGGCAAACGTGGACGGACTCCATTTCCCTTGGTATCTTTTCTCCATGCCTGCAATATCCTGGTGGATTCTCTCCCCATGCTCATCACTCACTGCCCCACAGTTCAAAGGGAAGTAGTCAAAATGCGAGTGTAAGAAGTGAATTTTCAGTGACATGTTTGCAACAAGTACTTTATAGGAACTAGGCAATTCCAAATCCCTGACCAGGTCATTTTGTTCACTCTGTGAAATGAGATGTGGTTCAGGAGGAGCATATGGTGAGCTAAAGTTTGGGCCCACTAACATCGACGACCCCAGATCGGCGGCATCCTGCTCATCGTCTTTATCATCATCGGAGTCTAGAGGATTCTGGTGGGTCTGGAATTGGCAAGTCCTCCCCATGGGGTACAGAACGCAGGGCGGATGGAATGTTTGCATATTCCACAGCCCATTTCTTCTTTCTCGAGATTCCTTTTGCAACTGAGGGAGCCATGCAGAAATAGCAATCGCTACTATGATTTGTGGGTTCCCTCCACATAATCGGGTCTGCGAAAGGCATGGATTTTTTCTTCCTGCTTAGCCAACAACGCAGGTAAGTTGCACATGTAATGCAACAATAATGAGGGGCCCAACTCTTCTCCTGATCCCCTATTTTGCATCCAAAATATAGGTGGTAGGCCTTCTTTGCCACGGCTGTCAATCTGCACTTTTGGGATGCAAATGTAACCTCACCACAAATGTAGCATAAGTTATCTGCGTTGTTTGGTTTCGAGACATCTTGGCTTGTGAGGGAAAATATGCAACTGTTCCTTGGAAATGTTAGGCAATAACACTTTCACAAGCCACCAGATGTAAGTGTATGATGTGTAGATCTGACAAACACAAACATGCCTTGCAATAAAAGAATAATTACAGTTAGGTAATAATCTTTAATCTCAAAGTGAAGATAAATTTATACGCTTCCATGTGGTACCATTTTCATTGCTCTACCATATTTTGTCAAGACATTATGAGGCATTCTAGACACCTCCCTCGTCGGCAAATATACTCACCTGTGTACAAATCTTTCTTGTGAAGTATCTTGAAAACTTTAGCCAACCAGCACCATTATCATGTTTTCTAATTCATCTACTCGAAATATATAAAAATTAATACGTTTTCTCTCAGAGGTCGATAATTTCTCAAAATCAGTGGAACGACTTGACTCCAAAAGTTGTGGGTGCTTCACCACTGGAGGCTTTTAAGAAGAAACTGGACAATCACTTGTCTCACATGGTTACAGGGTCTCCTACTCAAGCAGGGGATTGGACTTGAAGACATCCAAGGTCCCTGTAAGGACTTGCCTCTCCTCTCTCTTCAAGAAAGCAGAACTCTTGAAACAGGCATTATTTCAAAAGGAAACTTTTATTGAGGGAAAGCGATAGCAAGGAAAGCAAGGCAGGATCTGAAGTTCAGAACTGCTCAGAACCATTAGGTTAAACATTACAGAATAAGTGGCTGTCCAGTCTCTTCTTAAAAGCTTCCAGTATTGGAGCAGCCACAACTTCTGATGGCAAGCTGCTCCACTGGTTAATTGTCCTCACTGTCAGGAAGTTTCTCCTTAATTCCAGGTTGCATCTCTCCTTGATTAGTTTCCATCCATGTTTCTTCTGGTGCTTTGGAGAATAAGTTGACTCCCTCTTCTTTGGGGCAGCCTCTCAAATACTGGAAGACTGCTGTCATATCACCCCTAATTCTTCTTTTCTCTAAACTGCTCCACTGGTTAATTGTCCTCACTATCAGAAAGTTTCTCCTTAATTCCAGGTTGCTTGTGTTTGATTAGTTTCTGTCCATTGCTTCTTCTCCTGCCTTCTGGTGCTTTGGAGAAAAAGCTGACTCCCTCTTCTTTGGGGCAGCCTCTCAAATACTGGAGGACTGCTGTCATGTCTCCCCTAATTCCTCTTTTCTCTAGACTGGCCACAATGTCTAGTGGCAAGCTGTTCCACTCGTTATTTATTTATTTTATTGGACTTATATGCCACCCTATCTCCACAGGATTCAGGGCGGCTCACAACAATAAACAAAACAAGCAAACCGTTAAAAACAAAGTCCATGATAAAACTGACAAAAATCCAATAAAACCCCATTAAGTTCTATTAAAAACCCCATCAGTCTAGGGCAGCTAGATGAAATAGCCACGTTTTCAGCCCACGTTGGAAGGAGCGAAGGTCGGGGGCCACCCGGAGCTCCAGAGGGAGTTGATTCCAAAGGGTGGGTGCGCCTACAGAGAAAGCTCTCTCCCTGGGGGTCGCCAGCCGACACTGTCTGGCCGACGGCACCCGACAGTTAATTGGAGCTCTCAGTTGATAACAACGCCGTAGTTCGGAGGGTCCGTCTCCACTGACACAAGAAGCCTTTCTTCTGTAAACAAACGCAAATACACACACAGACGTTGCAGGAAGAGCCTTGCTAAGACCCTCTGGGTCCCCCCAGAGACAGAGGGGAGGGGAAGACCCCCTCCCCAGCAGAACCAAAAGTGGTGCGGGGGACATACACGTCTCTCCAAAGCAGTCTTTTTCAGTCTAGGCCTCTTTAAGATGGGTGGACCCCCACTTTCCCCGGCTACTAGGGAATTCTGGGAATGGGAGTCCACCCATCTTCAAGCTGCCCAGGCTGGTCGAAGAAAAAAGAAAGAAAATCGCTGATCCAAAAGGCTGTTTTATTGGGCATCCCTGCTTGCTTTGGTCGCCCCTTCGGTAAGACGGGTTCTTCCTCCACGCTGACTCCGCTGAGGTCTTTAAATGCGAGTCAAAGTTCCAGTCCTCATGTTCCTGAATACAGGATTAGCAGAACGCCTTTCGAGGCATCGCGAGCGAGCGAGCGAGCAACCGTTTACCTCAGAGTTGGCGCCTTTTTTTGCCGACTTCCGGCCGGAGTCCCGCCCTCGCCGCGGCACATCCGGCGGCTCTTTTTCCCCCTCACTGGCTGAAAAGGGAATCAATCAAGGCGTGAAGGGCGGGCGGCGGAACTGAGGGGACGAAGCCGAGGGAGATATTTCTTTCTACGGAGAAAATATTGACTCCCTTTTCTTCTACCGTGGCTAATTAGACGTTAATTAAATGAATTAAATTTAGCTGCAGAAGAAACGTGTGTTTTTCCCGCACTGGGGATGGGGGGAGGGGAGGGGAAGCGCCTTCCCGCGCTTTTCCAGCCTCGGAAGCCCCGCCCGCGGCCACCGTTATCCGCGGAGGCCAATTCCTAGAACGGCGCCCTGATGAACATCCGGGGCCGCTCTAGGCTCCTTACCTGCAGCGCTTCCGGGTAGGTCGGGGAAGACAAGCCAGCCATGGAGGCGGCCGGAGTGGCTCCCATCCGAGCCCAGTGAGTACGAGAGCCCCGGGGTTTTGGCCTACCTCTCCGACCGGGGAGGCTTAGCCTTTCTCTGCCCCGGGCCTTTTCCCCCCGCTTCCTTCGCAGCTCTGGGAGCCCTCCTTGTGAGTTCCTCGGAGTTACGACCCTTGCCTTCCAGGCCTTGGGGGGGGGATGTGTGTGTGTGTGTGTGTGTGTGTGTGTGTGTGTGTATGAAATGGGTCAAGGGATCCCCCTCCCCCTTTTTCCCAAATCCCTGTGGAACTGCCTCCATGAGCAGGGCGGGTTGGACTAGAAGACCTCTTAAGGGCCTTCCCATGAGGGGTGGGGGGAGGAGGAGGAGGGTTGTGGAGCCCAGTGAGTAGGAGAGAAATAAAATTTAAAAAAAAATCCTTGGGAATTGCCTGCTTGTTGAATAGATTTTGGGGGTCGGGGCAGGTGACAGGATGGGATATAAACTGGCAAAAGACATTTCTTTACCCAAAAAAAAAAACCCCAAAACCTCCAATTAACAGAGGGGTTGCAACTGTAAGGAAATAGATATACTGAAATACTAGAATTAAGTAGAAACTTGCTAATTGTTTCCTGCAACATATATACATATATACATAGATAACATATATTTGTCTTCTTAAGTTTTCGTGGGTGTGCATATGCAAAAAATTAAAATCTTGGGTGTTTTCCTAAAATCCCAGCTTAAAATCTTCTAAAAATCCTTACAGAGCACTCTGCAAGGTCCTTTAAAACCTCGGCTAAAATCCTACCAGTGACTTTAAAAGTTTTTCTTCAAGCAACGTTTCGACAGGCTCACAACCCTGTCCTCTTCAGGCTCTTGTTTCATGTAGAAGCTATGGGTTTTGAGCTGGGATTTTAACCAGGATTTTAAATATTTTAACCAACTTATTTACAATGACGGGGAAAACACCAGAGATTTTAATTTTTTGCATATACATATATATATATACACACACCTCTCGTCATCTTCAGGCTGGTGTCTTCGGCTTCGTGCTTGTGCGGGGAAAGCTTTCCTCTTCTCAGGTTTTCGCAGGTGTGTGTATGTAAAAGGTTAAAATCTCGGGTGTTTTCCCGCGTCATTAAAAGTCTGTTAGTTAAAATGCTTAAAATCCTGGCTAAAATCCCAGCTCAAAATCCTCTAAAATCCTAACAAAACACTTTGTAAGGTCTTTTAAAACTTTGGCTAAAATCCTAATCAACACTTTAAAAGCTTCTAAACTGAAAAGATGATGACAAGTTAGAGAGCTTGTCGAAACGTTGCCAAAAGAAATTTTAAAGTGTTGGTTAGAATTTTAGCCAAAGTTTTAAAAGACCTTACAAAGTGTTTTGTTAGGATTTTAGAGGATTTTGAGCATTTTAACTAACAGACTTTTAATGACGCGGGAAAACACCCGAGATTTTAACCTTTTATATATATATATAGGGCTGTAGAAAAATCTTGGCTACGTAGGAAAAACCTGGCTATAAGAAAAACACACATAAAACCTACAAAAAGTAAGAGAAAAGAGATACATATGTATGTATGTATATATGTATGATATATGATGTCTTTGTATACCTGCATGCTGTAAATATTTGTTTCCTGTGACACTGACATATATTAAGCCCTTTGTAGCAGTGTTGGATTTCAAAATTTTTTTACTATTGGTTCTGTGGGCATGGCTTGGTGGGCGTGGCAGGGGAAGGATACTGTAAAATCTCCATTCCCATCCGATCAGCTGGCACTATGGCACTCAAAATGGAGAGAAGTAAGCAGTGGGGTACTACCAGTGGTAGGATTCAAAAATTTTTACTACCGGTTCTGTGGTCATGGCGTGGTGGGCGTGGCTTGGTGGGCGTGGCACAGGAAGGATACTGCAAAATCCCCATTCCTATCCCACTCCAGGGGAAGGATATTGCAAAATCCCCATTCCCTCCCGATCAGCTGGAACTCAGGAGGCAGAGAATAGATGGGGGCGGGGCAGGTCAGAGGTGATATTTACCGGTTCTCTGAACTACTCAAAATTTCCGCTACCAGGGAAATGACCATGAATAAAATTAAAACTACTCCAGGACTCAAAAGATAGAGGAGGAACAGCACTCCTGGATTGGGAACTTTATCACCAAGCGGTGGGACTTGTATGGGTCAAAGACTGGATGGAATTGAATAATAGCAGAATATTATCCATTGAAGGTCACGACCTACAAACGGGCTGGCACTCTTTTTTTATGGGATGAAAGGTATAAATCACATACTTATTTTAAAAGACACACAGTTAGGAATGCTTTATTACTAATTTGGCTAAAAACTAAAAAACAACAGTATACAAAAATCCCGATCTGGCTTTCATCCTCAGAAGCGTTAAAACACCCTAACCCTACAGAACCCAAAAATATAATTAGATATAAAGATTTAATTGATCAACAAGGAAAATTGAAAACCAAACAACAATTGGAAACAGATTTGAATAGAGAAATCGATTGGTGGACTTTCTCACAGATTCAATCAAAACATAAGGAATATATAAAAACATATGAAATATGTAAAGAGAAGCAGGAACAAGATAAAATTATATTAGACTCCGAAGAGAAACTAATCAGTAAAATTTACAAATTCTTACTGCGATATAAAATGGAGGAGGAAATAGTTAAAAACATAATCCATGATTAAATGGATGCAAAATTTTAAATATTCAATAGAATTGAAGAAATGGGAAGAACTCTGGCAATTGAACACAAAAACAACATTGGCGGTGGCATACAAGGAGAACCAGCTAAAAATGTTCTATAGGTGGCATATGTCGCCTACAGGATTGGCCAAAATTAATCCGAAAAATACCTCTGTGCTGGAAATGTAAAAACCTACAAGGCACCTTTTACCATCTATGGTGGACATGTCCGGCAGTGAAGAAATTTCGGTCCAACATCAAGAAATGGCTAGATCAAATTACCAAATTACAGATAGACAAGAGACCCGAAACCTTCCTGTTAGAAATCTTCACAAAACCATATCCTAAAGAAATAAAACACCTATTAATACATATCCTAATGGCAGCGAGGATAATATATGCTAAAAATTGGAAACTGGAAAAAATCCCAACGGAAGAAGAAATAATAGATAAAATTACACAGTGTGCTGAAATGGATAGGTTAACAAAAGAGCTAAAGGAAAAGGAAGAGACAGAATTTTATAAAGTTTGGAATAAATGGCATCAATGGCATAATGTTACTACTGAAGAATCACAACTAGAAGTAAGATAGAATAGAAATACAATTGTGCATACAAATAATTCCCTACGGGCAGATAAACTTACAGAGAGAAACTCTAAAAGTAAGGATACAGTTTAAATGTATGATATATAGATTACTAAAGTAGAAGTTTTAGAGAAAAGAAGAGGGGGGAGGGAGAAATGGTAAAATGAAATTATTAAGTTAAGATTTAGGGGAATAAGTACAACTGTATTACTTGAAAGACCAATATGAAATAAATGCTCCAAAAGACTGATTTACTTATAAATTGTTCATTGTATAATGTATTTATATGGTTTTTTTTGTTTTTCTTATGTGTTTTATATATGTTTTAATAAAGTTTATAAATTAAAAAAAAAAAATTCCGCTACCGGTTCTCCAGAACTGGTCAGAACCTGCTGAAACCCACCTCTGCTTTGTAGTTATAACACAAACATGCCACATTTGACTAACTTCCTGGATTGTTATTGGGGTCTGCTGTGAAGTATCTTGCATTTGTCAAACTATAAGTTCCACCTTTCGATCAGAGCCTTATCTCTCCCCCTCCTGCCTTGATCTTTTAAGCTCCCTCCACTCCAGGGGGCTAAATAGCCAAGTGTGAACACAAAGAGGATGATCAGGAAGAGATAACGCTAATGATGCTCATTAAGAGGTTCTACCCTGTTTTGGGGGGGATACAGAAACCAAATTCCAGGGGATACACAAATCAAAGATGCCAGAATTGGAGGTTTATGACTTTCCTAAACAACATAAAAGGGGTTCACATTCCTTCTCTTGTTTGTAGTTGTTACTTGCATGTATCTTGTATGTGTTTGGAACAGCTAACCATTGAAGCTTGATCAAGATTAAATGCTATTTTACTCAAGCCTCTGTTTAAGTTTCTTGTTTGGCATTTATGAGCTTAAACGTATTATTATTATTGGACCTTACACAACCTTTCTCCCTTGAGATACCGCTGCACGAAAGAGGACTTCCACGCCCACCTTGAGAAGGAAGAGAAGCCGAGGAAAGATCCGGATGGAGCCAAGAACGACCTTCAGGCCGCCGAGCGAGGGGAGCCTCCTGCCAAGCTGCAGAAGGTGGAACTCGATGGGGCTGGAGAAGAGAAGCCCGCAGAAGTTGCCGTTGCCGGTGAGAGCGCCCCAGAGCCTCCGGGACGGAAGAGGCTGAGAGGGCAGAACAAGAACCGACATTGCATGAAGCCGACTCACTACGAGAAGCAGCGCTTGTGTCCCTCCGTGGTTCAGGTAAAGTTGTCTTAACGCGTGGCACACGCCTGCGGACGAGTCCACTTGCTGGGCCTTGAAACAGTCTTTCTGGCTTAAGCATTCGCATTCCTTGGGCGGCTTCGAAACGGACCAAAGGGTTCGGTTTTAATGGCTACATAGAGGTAGTCCAAAACTTAACGACCAGTCACAAATATTCTCTATACTCCTTGACTTAACGACCATTCATTTATTGATTGTTCAAAGTTACAAGAAGCTGAAAAATGACTTATGGCCATTTTTCGCACTTATAACCATGGACATCCCCATGTGGTCAAAATTGAGACGCTTGGCAACTGGTGTGTATGTATGATTGTCAGGAAGTTTCTCCTTAGTTCTAAGTTGCTTCTCTCCTTGATGAGTTTCCATCCATTTTTTCTTGTCCTGCCCTCTGGTGCTTTTGAGAATCAACCCCCTTTTTTGGGGGCAGCCCCTCAAATACTGGAAGACTGCTATCATGTCACTCCTAGTTCTGTAAACTGGAGACCGCACAGAGATTTCGGAAGGAGCTTGCGGTCAGAGCAAGCAAAAAGCTGAAAGAATTTCACTAATAGTTGGGAGACCCTAAGAGAAATTGACAAGGGATCAGTCCAAAATGGAGAAGAACATATTAGCTAAGGGTGACATGTGACCAAGGTGGTTGGTGAGACAAAGGCCTTTCGGTTGTGGTGGAATAAAATTGAAAATCATCTGTGTAAAATATAAAATTTTAAAAGTCTGTGGAGATTCTCAGCCATTCAGGACAAGGTGGTGCCAAAGGTGCTTTTTTCAGGAGGCAACTGGACTTTCTTTGAAGACGTTTCGCTTCTCATCCGAGAAGCTTCTTCCGTTCTGACAGGATATTGGGGAACGGAAGGATTTATAGTCCTTGCAGACAGCTGGTCCTTTGCATCCTTTTAGAGAGTCGTTGAAGCACTTGGAGGTTTATCTGTGTCCTCAGGGTCACAGGACTTCAGGAACCAGGAGCACCACTCAGGTGATCCTGAGGACACAGGTAAACCTCCAAGTGGCCTCAACGACCTTCTAAAAAGAATGCAAATGACCAGCTGTCTGCAAGGAGTATAAATCCTTCCATTTCCCACCCTCCAGTCAGAGCTGAAGAAGCTTCTTGGATGAGAAGCGAAAGAAGAAAACTCCAGTTGCCTCCCGAAAAAGCACCTTTGGGACTATAAAATTTTGATTTTAATTTTTTAATTTTAGAAAAAAAAGCCCTAGTTTCTGCCAGTTTTCCCCATCGCTTGTCTTTTCTCTCGCCAAAGGAACGTCTGGAGAAATGCTTCTACGGCTCCAGCTGCCGCTTCCTGCACGACCTTAAGGAGTACATGGCCGCCAAGCCCCCAGACCTCGGGGGCCGCTGCCTGCTGTTCGAGACCTTCGGCCGGTGCACGTACGGGGCCACCTGCCGATTCGCCGGAGCTCACCTGGGAGAGGGCTACAAGAACCTGGTGAACGCTGACCTCCTGAAGCAGTGGGAAGGGAGGCTGGCGGTGAGAAACGGTCTCAGCAAGGACGTCCAGCAGCAGCTGCGCAAGAAGAAAATGCCCTTCGCCAGATCCAGCGAGTACCTCCGTTCCCTGGGCAAGACCCACCCAGCCAGGAGGTCTGGCACCCAGGCTGCGGTGGCAGAGACGAGGGTCTCGGACTGCTCTGCTTCTGAAGGAACCGAGGAGCTTGGAGCGGCCAGGTTGGAGGCACCGAACGGTTCTAACCCATCGGAAGGAGTAGGATCTGCTTCGGAAACCGCAAAGACTCCGATTCCTCCAGCAGAACCCGTTCTGGAAAGAGTGGGCTCGGTGACGGATGAAGACACGGTGAAACTGAGGCCATCTGAGAAACCCAAGGTAAGCCAGCCCAGGAAGGGGCAAGGGATCTCTCAGTCCATCTCCTATTTTATTTAGCCAATCCATTTATTTACTATCTATTGTTTATTCTATTCTGTCTTTCTGACTGTCTTTATCGTCTCTCTATCATCTATCACCTAAGTTTTATCTATGTGCCTGTATCTATGTCTATCATCTCATCTATTGCCTCACTTATCTGTCTTCTATCTGTCTGATCTCTCTATTATCTAGCTAACAGTTGACAGATAAAAGATAAGATGATAGGGATCTATCTGCCTGCCTGTCTCTTATCATTTATTATCCAACTTTATCTCTCTGTCCCTATCACCTCTATTATCTGTTATTTAACTTTTATCTATCATCTATGTTTTTCTCTCTCTCTGTCTGTCTGTCTCATCTATCTATTGTCTAACTCAGAGGTCTTCAAACTTGGCAGCTTTAAGACTTGTGGACTTCAACTCCCATAGCTGGCTGGAGAATTCTGGGAGTTGAAGTCCACAAGCCTTAAAGAAGCCAAGTTTGAAGACTTCTGGTCTAACATATCTGTCTCATCTCTATTATCTCTTAGACAGATAAGATGATAGATCTGTCTGTCCCTGTTACCTATTGTCTGTCTAGCTTTATCTCGTCTATTATCTCTCTATTTAACTTTTAGCATCTCTCTTTATGTCTCATCTCATCTGTCTGTCTGTCTAATGTATCTATTATTTAACTTACCTATCTGTTTCATCTCTATTACCTAACTTAGATGATAGATAAGATGATCTGTCTGTCTCTGTTATCTATTGTCTATCTAGCTTTATCTCTATTATCTCTCTATTAAACTTTTATCATCTATCTCTGTTTATGTCTCATCTCTGTTTCTCTCTCCATCTAATTTAGAAACTGCTCACCTCCCTCATAGAGAGTTTTAATAATCTCCCCGCTCTTTCCAAATTAAGTTTAGATTTTGCACAAAGAAAAGAAAGAAAGGGATCCAGAAAGTTGTTCCACCTGTGACCCCTTCCTCTGGCTGGTATCTCCTTTCAGGCAGAGAAGAGACTTTCGGGAGGGGTACCCTCCAGGGGCTGCTGAGTTTTGCATCGTTCAACAACCCCCCTCACACACACATCCCTGCCCCGTAACAAATTTCTGCCAACTGGGCTTTGTTGAGTAGGAAGCAGATTCCCCACAATGCGCAATTTAGCCTTCACACTAAAAAAGTTTCTCTTTCCCTGTGTTTCTCTTCCAGTTGGATCTGCATGGCAAGCTCTATTTGGCCCCTCTGACCACGGTAAGGAGGCCTCCTCCTAGTGGAGGTTTGCCAACACAAACGCTAGAAAGCTGAGGATGTGAGCTCAGGTCGACGTGCTTATGGGGAAGCCAGGAGAAAGGGTGAAGCAGGAGTCCCAGAGGTCCTTTTTCAAGAAGCAACCTGGACTTTCTGGTTTTTTCTTTGAAGACCTCTCGCCCAAGGAGCTTCTTCAGCTCTGACAGGATGGTGGGGAAGGGAAGGATTGATACTCCTTGCAGACAGAGCTGGTCATTTGCATCCTTTCAGAGAGTCCTTGAGGCTACTTGGAGGTTTTATCTGTGTCCTCAGGGTCACCTAAGTGGTGCAAATGGGGGTGGAGCCTTCTTGGAATTGCTGATGATATCACCTATCTCCGGTCTACAACACGATCCGTTCAGCAGTTCCAAGGTGACTCTGAGGACACAGGAACCTCAAAGTGGCCTCAACGACTCTCTGAAAGGATGCAAATGAACAAGGCACCTTTGGGACAACCAGGGATCTGGATGGCTGAGAACCTCCATAGACAGATGAAGCAGGAGAACAGCTGAGCTGGCCTACCTACTTCCAGAATGGGATGGAGCCAATATTTATCTTCCCCCCACCCCCACCCCTTCACAATGCTTCCTTCTCTCCTGAAGTAATCCATGGATCCCTCCTCTGCTTCTCCCTGTCCCACTGGATTCTGCAGCTTCCCCCCACCCACCCCCAAATCTTAGGGTTTTTTCCTTGGTGTCCCAAAAGTGCTTTTTTTTCCCCCAAGAGGCAACTGGATTTTCTGTGTTTTTCTTTGAAGACATTTAGCTTCTCACCCAAGAAGCTTCTTTGGGTTTTTTCCCTTGGGTTTCTCGGCGAGAAAGGTGTCCCCCCCCCCCCCCATTTCACAAATCCTTAGCAGGACAGATAGTCCTTGACTTACAATCATAATGAAGCCCAAAATTATGAAATTGGCCTACTTAGACTGACCCAAATTTTTAAAAAGTCCATAATTTAAGATGTCTGGAGAAGCAATCATTTCATTCTCCTGGAGGAAAAAAAGCAGATCTGAGGGTCAAGCGTATCTCCCAGATCCCATGGCCGGACAGAAGATGCTCCTTGGAAGGTGGACAACACAATAAATTGTTACTAACTTCACAACCGCAGGGATTCGCTGAGTGGCCGTGGCAAGAAAGACGGTAAAATGGGGCAAAACTCCCTTAACAGCTGTCTGGCTTAGCAATGGAAATTTGGGGTTCAATTGTGGTCGTGAGTCAAACAGTACCAATGTTATAAAAGATCAAAGCAAATAAATACAACTGTTTAATTAACAGAAAACTAGCTAAGATGGAGCAGGAGTTGGGAGTCTTTTATTTCATTCCCTAACCACCTCCAGAATGACTCGTCTCCTATCAGGGCCCCAGGCCAAATTATGGGGGTCCTTCAGGAAGGCACAAAGTTCCAGAGAGTGGGAGCCATAACCTAAAAGGTTCTTCCGGACCCCCACTGGCTGGGATTCCTTGACCGACAGAGTCTGCAGCAGGCCCCTTCTGATGGGGCGAGTAGGGTGGGCTGACCCCATTGGTGGAGGGAGACGCTTCTTCAGAAACCTGGACAAACCCCCTCCCTTGTCCCCAGAAGCCACATTTCTCCTCAATTAAAACCTTTTTATTAGTTTATCAAAGTACAAAATACGTAGGGAAAAAAAAACATGGAAAAGTAAGAAGAGAGGAAGGAGAAAGGGGGGTGTAATGTAATGGAAGCAACAAAAATAAAGGAAAAAGGCACCAACATCCGAGTCACTTTGGCACTGTCAAAGGTAACAACATTACAACTACAAATTTTTGCTTTTATACAGCAATGTGTACAAGCCATTTCTATAACAATAAGTTAGTTTTGTATGTATAAAATGAGTAGGTACATATACGCAGGTATGCCGGGTTTTTTAAAGTAATGCTGAATGATATTTTAAAGGTGGTAAAATAGTATGGACTAGTTTTGAAAATAGGAGAATGAATGATGTATTATTTCCCACAGCAAGGGAAGTTGAGATGGTTAATTTATAAAAACAGAATCAAAGTTCCACTTTTTTGCCCCACCCCCACCCCCACTGCAAACACAAAAATCCGGAAGCAATTTCGAACTAGAGACAAAATTAAATACAATCTCTTATTTTGGATAAAAGAAACATTTTAACCATCTCACCTTCCCTTGCTGTGGGGAATAATATATCATTCATTCTCCTATTTTCAAATCTAGTCCATAATATTTTACCACCTTTTAAAATATTGTTCAGCATTACTTAAAAAAAAACCCGGCATACCTGCGTATACGTACCTACTCATTTTATACATACAAAACGGGGGTGAAATCCAGCAGGTTCTGACCGGTAGTGGAAATTTTGAGTAGTTCAGAGAACCGGCAATACCACCTCTGACTGGCCCCAGAGTAGGGTGGGAATGGGGATTTTGCTGTATCCTTCCCCTGCCATGCCCAAGCCACACCCACAGAACCAGTAGTAACAAAATTTGGATTTTCACCACTGATACAAAACTAACTTAAAAGTTTTCTAACCATATATCGTTTTTTTTAATCCATCCTAATGAATTAAACCATATTTAAGTCCCTCCCTCCCGCTTATCTTCATAGAGCAGAGTCCTTTTCTTCTCGGGAGAGACGATCAAGTCTCTTTTCCTAAACACGTTCTCGGCTTTATTGATATCCATGATGCGAATCCATCCTGGCTTGCATTAACCTCCTTCCTTCTGCCCTGCCGTTTCAGTGCGGCAACCTTCCCTTCCGTCGGATATGCAAAGGCTACGGGGCGGACGTCACCTGCGGAGAGATGGCGGTGTGCACCAACCTCCTTCAGGGACAGTCTTCCGAATGGGCGTTGCTGAAGCGCCACGAGACCGAGGATCTCTTCGGGGTTCAGGTAGCTTCCTGGGGCAGAATGGGAATTGGGTCCCCGGGGGCCGAGGGAGCATTGGCTTGGGTTGAAGCTCTATCTGCTTCTGGCAGACGACGCCTCTCCCTGAAAAAGGGAGAGCAGCAGAAACGGAGGCTTCCCATGGAGACGATTGCAGGAATTGGATCTGTCTAGTTCAGGGGTCAGCAACCCGCAGCTCTGGAGCCGCATGTGGCTCTATCATCCCTCTGCTGCGGCTCTCAGTCGCTGGTCAGCTCCACAATTCATAAGCCCCTGAAGGCAGGACAGGAAGCAACGGATAGAAACTCATCAAGGAGAGAAGCAACCTGGAACTAAGGAGGAATTTCCTGACAGTTAGAGCAATTAATCAGTGGAACAGCTTGCCACCAGAAGTTGTGGGTGCTCCAACATAGGATGTTTTTTAAGAGATTGGACACCCATTTCTGTGAAATAGTGTGGGGTCTCCTGCCTGATCGGGGTTGGAGTAGAAGACCTCCAAGGTCCCTTCCAACTCTTGTTGTTTTGTTCTGTTATTTTGTTCTGTTCTGTCTATTATGTTCCACAATGCAAAAAAGGATGATGAGACTCTGGAAAGAGGGCAGAGAATGATTAGGGGACTGGAGGCTAAAACATATGGTTGCTGGAATTGGGTATGTTTAGCTTAATGAAAAGGAGAATGATAGCATCTCCCAGTATTTGAGGGGCTGCCCCAAAGAGGTAGGGGGAGGGGTATCCACCTGTTCTCCAAAGCCCCTGAAGGCAGGACAAAAAGCAAAGGATGGAAACTCATCAAGGAGAGACGCAACCTGGAACTAAGGAGGAATTTCCTGGCAGGGAGAACAATTAACCAGTGGAACAGCTTGCCACCAGAAGTCGTGGGTGCTCCAACACTGGAGGCCTTTAAGAAAAGAGTCAGGACAGCTACCTCTCTACTTGAGCAGGGGGCTGGACTAGAAGACCTTGAAGGTCTCTCCCACTCTATTGTTCTGTCTACTCCCGGTATCTAGTAAGCCTCTAAAGTGACCCCATTGATTTTTGCTGGGATCATATTTTTTCTCCCCGGACGTACACTATATTCAAGCCAGAATGGGCGAAAAGCCAGCTGCTGCCTCAGATCAATTTAAGTACCGTATTTTTCGAGTATAAGATGCACCTTAGTTTTTGGGGAGGAAACTAGGGGGAAAAATTCTGCCTACCAGGTATTCACCTGGCTAGCGTCCTTAGCCTGGTCAGCTTCAGCACATTCGTTCGCTCGCTGATTTTGAGGTTGGGGCTGCTTGGGGCTAAAAAACAGCTTCTAAAGCACAGCTGATCGTCGGAGGGAGCTCCAGAGGAAGGGGTAAGAGAAACCAGCCCTGGGTAGCCATTTTGGGCACCGTGCGTCACGCTTTCAGCCTCCAAGCGTATCCCATTTTCGGGCAGCGATGTGCTTTGGCGATTCCCGCAGCCTTGAAGGGCTCTCAAAGGGAGCATTTGGAGGCTGAAAACGTGATGCACAGAGCCCCAAAACACAAGCCGTTGTCGGTGGCAATCTCTGCAGCCAGGAAGAGGACGCGCGGAGGCCGAAGGGTGGGGGCCAGTAGGCGGGAAGAATTACATTTGGAGTATAAAACGCACCCAAATTTTCGGCCTGTTTTAAGGAGGGGGGGGGAAATGTGTCTTGTACTCCGAAAAATACAGCAAATCATTGCTGGTGTAGAACGAGATACGCCTGAAATTGTCGGAACTGACAATTTCTGAATGGTCTGAAACAATGTAGGGTCTCCTGCTTTTAGCAGGGGGTTGGACTAGAAGACCTCCGAGGTGCCTTCCAACTCGGTTATTCTGTTTAGGGGCTCCCTTGCGCCTGGCTAACTTTCGGCGTCTCCTCTGTTTGCAGCTGGAAGGAGCCTTTCCAGACACCATGACTAAATGCGCTGAGCTCCTGAACCAAACCATTGAGGTGGATTTTGTGGATATCAATGTGGGATGCCCAATTGACCTGGTCTATAACAAGGTAAGTGGTCATTTTGGGCCAGTGTACGGCTGCCTTGTATTGGCTGTGGCTCAGTGGCTTAGACGCTAAGCTTGTCGATCGAAAGGTCGGCAGTTCAGCGGTTCAAATCCCTAGTGCCGCGTAATGGGGTGAGCTCCCGTTCCTTGTCCCAGCTTCTGCCAACCTAGCAGTTTGAAAGCAGGTAAAAAATGCAAGTAGAAAAATAGGGACCCCCCTTTGGTGGGAAGGTAAGAGCATTCCGTGAGCCTTTGGCGTTGAGTCATGCCGGCCACATGACCACGGAGACGTCTTCGGACAGCGCTGGCTCTTCGGCTTTGAAACGGAGATGAGCACCGCCCCCTAGAGTCGGGAACGACCAGCACAGATGTGCGAGGGGAACCTTTAGCTTTACCTAATAAAGTGTAGCTCCTGCTCCAATGGACTGATGGCTTAGAAAGCCAGCCCAGTGGAGTAGACATCCAAGAGGATTAATACACTTTCAAATTTCGGCTTCTCCATCTCTTGACCCACTCAGGAAATAGAATGGAAATGGGTAAAGGAGGAGGTATGCAAAAAGAAGCCTCTGTACCTGTGCTTCTGTGTAGGTTGAGGTGGTAACGTAAGGCCGCAGTGGATAAGCCGCCGTAACTCCGTATCTTGAAATCGGGCCTTGAGAGGAATGATAAAACGGCTGCCAAGGAGAAGGGGGATGTGCCCATTTCCAAAATGGCTGCCTCGCAGACAGCAGTCAGTGAGCCCTGTTGGCCAGGCAAGCTCTACCATCAAAAGAGGAAAATATTTGTATCTCGGGGTTAAAACTGTGGGGCCCTTGCTGCTCTCTGAGCTTGGTGGTATTCCTGCAGACGTTTCGTGACCCAACAAGGTAAGAACATCAGTGCTGGAAGGAAGTGGGGGTCGCTCTCGGTTTATATAATATTGGCTTCTCCTGTCCGTCCCCCCCCCCCCCCGGTCAGCGGGTCCTTCTGACCAGCAAAGTCAACGGGGGGAGCCAGAGTCACTTAACCAGGTTGCTAACAATTGCAGTGGTTCACTTAACAACTGTGGCAAGAAAGGTTGTAAAATGGGGCAAAAATCACTTAACAGCGAGTGCAGTGGTTAGAATGCAGAATGGGAAGCTGACTCTGCCCACTTGCAGGAGTTCGATCCTGACCTACTCAAGGCTGACTCAGCCTTCCATCCTTCTGAGGTCGGTAAAACGAGGACCCGGATTGTTGGGGGCAAGAGGCTGACTCTGTAAACTGCTTAGAGGGGGCTTTGATGCACTTTGAAGCGGTATATAAGTCTAAGAGCTAAGTGGGAAGGAAGGAAGGAAGGAAGGAAGGAAGGAAGGAAGGAAGGAAGGAAAATGCAGCATTTATTATTTATTTATTAATCATATTTCTATGCCACCCACTCTCTGAGGACTGGGCGGCTTACACCAAAGACAGTATACGAAAGAGCATATTGCCCCCCAACTATCTGGGTCCTCAAAGTTAGCATTGCAGGCTAACTTTGCCCAGAGCCAGGAATTCAATCCTGACCGGCTCAAGGTTGACTTAGCCTTCCATCCTTCTGAGGTCGCTAAATAAGGACCCAGATTGTTGTGGGCAAGAGGCTGACTCTGTAAAGTGCTTAGAGAGGGTTGGAAAGCCCTGTGAAGCAGTATGTAAATCTAAGTGCTTAGTGCTATTGTTATTAACAACTCTCTGGCTTAGCAAGAGAAATGTTGGGCTCCATTGCAGTCGTAAATCGAGGACTACCTATATGGGAGACGGTGAATTGTAATCCCAGCCTAGCCATGAAAGACACCTGGCTGACCTTGAGCCAGTCACTCGCTCGCTCTCTCAGTCTAACTCACCTCACGCGGGGGGGAAGGGGAGGGCAAATGAGGAAATACTTATTATATTCAAAGCCTTAAATGGTTGATAAGAAATAATGCAGGCAGCCTATTAGATAAGTAAACAATCTCTAAACGCTTCACCCTCTTTTCCTTTCCCTTCTCAGGGTGGTGGATGTGCTCTGATGACCCGAACCAATAAGTTTGAGCAAATCGTCCGAGGCATGAACTCCGTAAGTTGGCCGATTCACGCAGCGTTCAAGTGATTTCATGTCCTGTCTGCTTTTCCTAACCGCTTGAAACTGTGTCTGTGTGTGTGTGTTTTCCTAATGGCTTGAAACTCTCCTGTCTTAACAAAATGAAATTCAACGGTGGAAAAAGCAAGGATCTACATTTAGGCAAGAAAAACCAAATGCACAGGTACAGTACAGGTGGTACAGTACCTTGCTCAATAGTAGTAACTGTGAGAGAGATCTTGGAGTCCTAGTGGACAACCATTTAAATAGGAGCCAGCCGTGTGCAGCAGCTGCCAAAAAAGCCAACACAGTTCTGGGCTGCATCAACAGAGGGATAGAATCAGGATCACGTGAAATGTTCATACACTTTATAAGGCCTTGGTAATAAGGCCACACTTAGAATATTGCATTCAGTTTTGGTCGCCATGATGAAAAAAAAGATGCAGATACTCTGGAAAGAGTGCAGAGAAGAGCCACAAAGAGGATTATAGGGGACTAGAGGCTAAAACATATGAAGAACGGTTGCAGGAATTGGGTAAGTCTAGTTTGATGAAGAGAAGGACCAGGGGTGACGTGATAGAGCCTTGGTAGTACAGGGGTTTAAGGCACCCTGTTATTAAGCTTATTAAGACCAGCTGCCTGCAATTACTGCAGGGTTCGAATCTCGCCAAGGCTCAAGGTTGACTCAGCCTTCCATCCTTTCTAAGGTAGGTAAATTGAGGACCCAGTTTGTGGGGGCAATAAGCTGACTTTGTATAAATATACAAAAGGATGAAGGCTATTGCTGAGCACATTGTAAGCCGCCCTGAGTCTCCGGAGAAGGGCAGCATATAAATCAAATTTAAAAAAAAAAAAAAATAGTTTTCCACTATCTATGGGACTGCCCCAAAGAAGAGGGAGTCAACCTATTCTCCAAAGCACCTGAGGGCAGGACAAGAAGCAACGGATGGAAACAAATCAAGGAGAGAAGGAACCTAGAATGAAGGAGAATTTTACTGACAGGGAGAATAATTAACCAGTGGAACTCCTTGCCTCCAGAAGTTGTGAACGCTCTAACACTAGAAGTTTTTAAGAAGAGTTTGGACAACCATTTGTCTGAAATGGTTTTCTACCTGAGCAGGTGGTTGGTCTAGAAGACCTCTGTGGTCCCTTCCAACTCCTATTCTATTCTATCCCATCCCATCTTGCTGGGCTGCATTTCAGAAAACATACACAAAATATGTCAGGGACTCGATGGTGTGACGGATCTCCTCTCCAGCTCGTGTGTTTTTCCAGGTCTAACTAGATGGGGTCTGTAGCTTGAGTCGTCGTATCCTCTTCTCGTGATCCTGCTGTCTCTTTCGACTTTACAGAACAGATCCCTGGGTCCTTGCCTTGTTCAGAAAACAGCAGATTCAAAGAAAGCAAATTCTATCAAGCGTGGGATTCCCAAACAGACTTGCCCCGGCTGTGATGACTTCTCCAGATGCTTCCCCAGATGCCTCTTCAGATGTCAGTTCGGAGGAGGATGAACCAGCCCTGGGCACGTCAGGAGGGGAGTTGGTCAGTGGTTCCAAGCAGCGGTCTGAAGAGGGATTTGGCTGAAGCACAACTGCAGCCAGGCAGCTCTAAGGCTTCAGGTGGGGAAAGCAGGCAGCTGCAGCGATGAGGAGGAGGAGGAGGAGGAGCTGCCTTCTGCACCCGATCGGAGGACCCGCAGGGCAGAGAAGAGGCAGGAGCAGAGGAGGTCAGCCAGAGTGCTCGCGAGGAGGCAGCCTCGCCCTTCCTGATGGGCTGCCCCAGAAGCTGACTCTTTAGCACAGCAGAGAGAGAGAGGCAGGGGGGAGCGATGCTGGGAACGACGTGTTCATTTCCTAGCTGTGTGTTTTCTGGTTGTCATGATTCCAGCCTTGCCTTGGATTGGCCCCGTGCCTTGACTTTGGTTCGTGCCTTGTGAACCCCGGACTTTGCTTGCCTCGTGAAACCTCTTGAGCTGTGGATTTAATTTCGCCCAGTGGATTTATCTGGATTGGGAAACTTTCAAGTGCCTTGTGGACTCACTGGCACAGTGCTCTCTGGACTAGCCTCGGTCTGCTTTTGGCTGGATTTAGAATAGAATAGAAGAACAGAGTTGGAAGGGACCTTGGAGGTCTTCTAGTCCAACCTCCTGCTTAGGCAGGAAACCCTACACCACTTCAGACAAAGGGTTATCCAACCTCTTCTTAAAAACTTCCAGTGTTGGAGCATTCGCAGCTTCTGCAGGCAAGTTGTTCCACTGATGAATTGTTCTGACTGTCAGGAAATTTCTCCTTACTTCTAAGTTGCTTCTCTCCTTGATTGGTTTCCACCAATTGCTTCTTGTCCTGCCCTCAGGTGCTTTGGAGAATAGGTGGACTCCCTCTTCTTTGGGGCAGCCCCTGAGATAATGGAACACTGCTATCCTGTCTCCCCTGGTCCTCCTTTTCATTAAACTAGACATACCCAGTTCCAGCTATCGTTCTTCCTATGTTTTATCCTCCAGTCCCCTAATCCTCTTTGTGGCTCTTCTCTGCACTCTTTCTAGAGTCTCCACATCTTTTTTACATTGTGGCGACCAAAACTGAATGCAATATTCTAAGTGTGGCCTTATTACCAAGGCCTTATAAAGTGGTATTAACACTTCCCGTGATCTTGATTCTATCCCTCTGTTGATGCAGCCTAGAACTGTGTTGGCTTTTTTGGCAGCTGCTGCACATGGCTGGCTCCTATCTTCATTGGGACAGTTCTGGGTTTTCAGCAAAGGGAGTTGCAGGGGAATATTAAAACAAACCCAGGAACCCACCCTTACGTGTGTGTGTGCTGTATGTGAGTGAAGGAGTGGCTGGGGAATATTAATAAACGCAGTAATCCATGGTTGCGTGTGAGTGGTGGGTGTGAGTGGGACAGCACACTGGCTCAATTTTTTTCCTCTTCTCTTTTCTCTCTCAGGTCCTGGATGTTCCGCTGACGGTTAAGATCAGGACAGGTGTGCAAGAGAAGACGAACCTGGCTCATAAACTGATCCCCAACCTCCGAGAATGGGGAGCCTCGTTGGTCACGGTATAGGATGCTCTGCTTTCCTTGCTCCGGTTGGGATGGAGGCCTGGTTACTCGCCTTGGCAAATCTGAGTGCTCAGAGGGGAAGAGTGGGGTAGCATTCCTGTCCCGTCCTTCCTCTTCCTGGGGGTTTCTCTAGCAAAGGTTTGGAGAAAGAGAGAGAGAGAGAGAGAGAGAGAAGTGGAACCTGCTGTGCTGCTTTTATTTAGAGCAGGAGGGTCTACAAGCTCCCAGAATTCCCCAGCCGAGCAGGCGTGAAGGCATCCAAGCCTTGCCGTGTTTGCTTCATCCATGCCAACTGCACCTTTTTCTGCCCCTCGTTAGCTCCACGGCCGATCGAGAGAGCAGAGGTACACAAAGATGGCAGACTGGGCCTACATAGCGGAGTGTGTCCAGGTGGCCAGCCCCATGCCCCTCTTCGGTAAGTGGCGGGCGGCCAGTTCCGGCATTTCCTGGCTCAGCCCTTGCAGGATACTTCAACAGGCATCGTTTTCAGCATAGCTTTGCTTGCTTCCCTTGAATTAGTCTGCAAGACTCTTCTGTCTGTCTGTCTGTCCGTCCATCCATCCATATCTATCTCATCTATCTTATCATCTGTGTATCTATCTAATGTACCTCTCTTTCTCTCCTTACCTATCTATCAATCATCTATCTATCCTATTTGTTTGCTGTCCATCATGCCACAAGGTGACTCTGGGCGGCTTACAACATTAAAATGAAAACATAAGTAAATGAATAAATGTTACACACATCCATATATTTATATACACACACACACACACACACACACACACACATATATAATTCAACTTACAACAGTACATTTGGTGGCCTTTGAAAGTTACAACAGCACTAAAAATGGACTTTTTGCAACGCTTCTCCTTTTGTGACCTTCTGACTAGTAAAGTCCATGGGGGAAACAAGATTCCCTTAACAAACTTAAGTGTTAACTAATTTAACGATGGCAGTTGGTTCCCTTCACATCCGTGGCAAGAAAGTTCGTAAAATGGGTCAGAATTCACTTAACAACTGTCTCGCTTAGCAACAGACATTTTGGGCTCCACCGTGGTCGTAAGTCGAGCACTACCTTACCTGTACATCTCTTTTCCCACAGAAAGGAGGATTGAGAACAAGTGCCTTTACGACCTTTCTTGCCACACACCGTTGTTAAGTGAATCACTGCGGTGAAGTTAGCAACACAATTGTTCAGGGGATCTGGCTTCCCCTTTTCTTTGTTTGTCAGAAGGTCACAAAAGGGGGGTCACACGACCCCCCCCGGGACACTGCAACCGTCATAACATCTCTTCATTTATTTATTTTTCCTTGTAACTTTTCGGATTCATATTTATTTATTTATTTATTTATTTTTCTTGTGGCGCAGGAAACGGCGATATTTTTTCTTTCGAAGATGCTAACCGAGCCATGCAGAGCGGAGTTTCAGGGGTCATGATTGCACGGTAAATGGTTTCTCTTCTTCCAGCCTCTAATATAAAAATAAAAATAAAAAACTTCCATTGCTTAATGGGAGAATTCAGAACGGGTTCCCTTGCTTCCATCCAGAAGATCGCAAGCTCATCTCCTCCGTCACGTATATCCGTCCTGCGGGGCTGGGAAAGGCAGCTCCCTGGAGCCCTTGTAGAAACTGTACCAGCTCACAACCGAGTTCCTCCTAGAAGTAACAGAGTTGGAAGGGACCTTAGAGGTCGTCTAGTCCAACCCCCTGCTCTTTGTGGAGTAAGGAATCTCTTTGTGGAAATTTAGAATTAGGAGCCCTCCTGTCCTACCACCTCTTACAATACTAGACAGCACAGTATCAGCAGTAGAGACCTCCAACTTTCTAGGTTCTACCATATCGCAAGATCTAAAATGGGACACCCAACATCAAAAATGTCATCAAAAAAGCACAACAAAGAATGTTCTTTATGCGCCAAGACAGAAAGCTCAAACTGCCCAAGGAGCTGCTGATCCAGTTCTACGGAGGAATTATTGAGTCTGTCATCTGCACCTCCATAACTGTCTGGTTTGGCTCTGCAGCCCAACAAGACAGACACAGACTTCAGAGGATAATTAGAACTGCAGAAAAAACAATGGCTACCAACCTGCCTTCCATTGAGGACCTGTATACTGCACGAGTCAAAAAGAGGGCTGGGAAAATATTTACAGACCCCTCACATCCTGGACATAAACTGTTTCAACTCCTACCCTCAAAACGACGCTATAGAGCACTGCACACCAGAACAACTAGACACAAGGACAGTTTTTTCCACCATGCCATCACTCTGCTAAACAAATAATTCCCACAACACTGTCTATGCTCTGGGATGTCAAATGGGGTTTTAATGGGAATTTTAGTTTTTTATTGTCAAATTTTAATCTGGACTTGTTTATTGCTGTGAGCCGCCCTGAGTCCTTATGGAGAAAGGGCGGCATATAAACCCAATAAATAAATAAATAAATAAATAAATAAATAAATAAATAAATAAATAAATAAATAAATAAATGTCAAACCATTTAATGGGTCTGCATTACCTATTGCCCTTCTCATCTTTCCTACTCCCTATTTCCTTATCTTATGACTATAACTTTATTGCTTGTATCTCGGGATTTATATTGTTTTATTTAGCATCCCACTAGGATTTATGTTGACTGCTTATTTAGTATCCTAGGACTACTTATGTCTCTTATGATTTATGATGACTGTATTTTACCATCGTGATTTATCCTTTGGGCTTCTGCACCTTGTGCAGAAGACAGATTCCTTGTGTGTCCAATCACACTTGGCCAATAAAGGAGACAAATTCCTTGTGTGTCCATTCACACTTGGCCAACGAAGAATTCTCTATTCCAGGAACGGAAGCCCCCCTCCCCCCCCCCCAGCTCAACCCTCTCCCATTTTTGACGCGCTCCACAGATTTTGAATGCTGTCACGACTGTTGTTTTTGGTCACAGGGGAGCCCTCATCAAACCTTGGATCTTCACCGAGATCAAAGAACAGCGGCACTGGGACATCTCTTCCAGGGAGAGGCTGGACATCCTCCAGGACTACACCAACTACGGCCTGGAACACTGGGGCTCAGACACCCAAGGCGTGGAGAAGACCAGGAAGTTCTTGCTGGAGTGGCTTTCCTTCCTCTGCAGGTGAGTAAGCACTCCTGTACCTTCGGCCGGATGGTCATGGTGGGCAGGAAGTAGCTGGGAGGGACTCAAAAGGTGCTTTTTCAAGAGGCAAGTGGACTTTCTGGCTTTTCTGTTTTCTTTGAAGATGTTTTGCTTCTCATCCGAGAAGCTTCTTCAGCTCTGACTGGATGGTGGAGGATGGAAGGATTTGTACCCCTTGCAGACAGCTGATCATTTGCATCCTTTTTAGGGAGTCTTTGAGGCCACCTGGAGGTTTGTCTGTGTCCTCAGGGTCACCTGAGTGGTGGGACTGGGGGTGGAGCCTTCTTGGAACTGCTGAAAGGACCGTGTTGTGGACTGTAGATAGATGATGTGGTCAGCAGTTCCAAGAAGGCTTCACACTCATTTGCACCACTCAGGTGATCCCTGAGGACACAGGTAAACCTCCAGGTGGCCTCAGCGACTCTCTAAAAAGGATGCAAATGACCAGCTTTGTCTGCAAGGAGTATCAGTCCTTCCCTTCCCCACCATCCTGTCAGAGCTGAAGAAACTTCTCGGATGAGAAGCGAAACTTCTTCAAAAGAAAAAAACCCAGAAAGTCCACTTGCCTCTTGAAAAAAAGCACCTTTGGGACAAGCAGGACCCAAATGTCTGGGAATCTCCATAAACATTTACCGTATTTTTCAGAGTATAAGATGCACCTTTTTCCCCCCTAAAAGGGGGTGAAAATTTAGGTGCGCCTTATATACCGAATGTAGCCCATCCGCTCGCCCCCACCTTTTGGCCTCTGCCTCCCAGCAGTTACCTCTTTGCAAGCAAACAGCAAGAAAAAACAGCTCCTTTCAGCTTCAGCACAGCCTAATTAGCACAAGTTGATTGGATCGGCCTCCCAACTCTCAGTTGATTTCCTCTCAGCTGTTTTGCGCAGGACTCTGCTGCTTGCTTGCAAGGAAGAAAATTGCTGGAGCAGATTTTTTTTCCCCTTGTGCTAATCAAGCTATGCTGAAAACGAAAATGAAAGTAAAGTTGTTTGCTGTTTGCTGCAATGAGGCAAAATTGCTCAGAGGCAGAGGGAGATTTCTTTTTCTTCTTTTCCTCACCCAAAAAGGTAGGTGCGTCTTATACTCCGAAAAATACAGTAGCTAGTAGGGATGAGAATTTTCTGACATCAGAGGCTGAACGCTAGCTGGCGAGAACACAGCAAGAGAGCTACTGACGGGGCATATTACCGGTAGTCCTGGATTTACGACCACAACCAAGCCCGAAAGTTCTGTTGCTAAGCAAGACAGTTGTTAAGTGAGTTTTGCCCTATTTTACAATCTTTCTTGCCATGGTTGTTAAATGGATAACTGCAGCTGTTCAGTTAGTCACACGGTTGCAAAGTGAACCTGGCTTCCCCGTGGCTTCTTCTCAGAAGGTTGCAAAAGGGGATTGTGTGACCCCGGGACACGGTGACTGTCGTGAATATGAACCAGTTGCCAAGGGTCTGAATTTGGATCACCTGACCAAGGGGAATGCTATAACGGTCATAAGTGCGAAAATCAGTCATAACTCAACTTTTTCTGGTGCCTTTGGATGGTGCAGACATTTGCATCCTTTTTAGAAGGTCGTTGAGGCCACTTTACCTGTGTCCTTGAGGTCACCTTGGAACTGTTGAACACGGACCATGTTGTAGACCGGAGATAGATGATGTCGTCAGCTGTGCCAAGAAGGCTCCACCCCCATTTGCACCACTCAGGTGACCCTGAGGACACAGATAAAACCTCCAGGTGGCCTCAACGACTCCCTTAAAGGTTGCAAATGACCACGATTTATACTCCTTGCAGACAGCTGGTCATTTGCATCCTTTTTAGAGAATCGTTGAGGCCACTTGGGGGTTTCTCTGTGTCCTCAGGGTCACCTGAGTGGTGCAAATGGGGATGGAGCCGCCTTGGAACTGCTGAACATCCTGCAGAAAGCACAACTCCACAACACAATCCTTTCAGCAGTTCCAAGGTGACCCTAAGGACACAGGTAAACCTCCAGGTGGCCTCAGTGACTCTCTCAAAGGATGCAAATGACCAGCTGTCTGCAAGGAGTATAAATCCTTCCATTCCCCAAAGGTGCTTTTTCAGGAGGCAACTGGACTTCCTTGTTTGTTTGTTTTCTTTGAAGACGTTTCGCTTCTCATCCAAGAAGCTTCTTCAGCTCTGACTGGATGGTGGGGAAAAGCACCTTTGGGACAACCATGACCTTGGATGACTGAGAATGTCTACAGACTCCCGTTCCCCACCATCCAGCCAGAGCTGAAGAAGCTTCTTGGATGAGAAGCAAAAACATCTCCAAGGAAAGACCCAGAAAGTCCAGTTGCCTCTTGAAAAATCCCCTTTGGGACAACGGTGACCCCGGTGGCTGAGAATCTCCCTGGACCTCTCATTTCCAGCTGTTTTTATTTTCCTCTTGCTCAGGTACATCCCCGTGGGATTGCTGGAGCGCCTGCCGCAGCGAATCAACGAAAGGCCCCCTTACTACCTGGGCCGAGACTACTTGGAGACTTTGATGGCTAGCCAAAACGTGGACGACTGGATTAAGATCAGGTACGAGGGAGCTCGAACCGCCCCTCGCCTCGCCTTACCTTTTGGATTCCTCGCATCCTCAATAATTCAAGTTTCTTCTTCTTTTCTTTTCTTTTCTTTTCTTTCCAGCGAGATGCTGCTGGGCCGCGTCCCTGCCAACTTCTCCTTCCTGCCGAAACACAAAGCGAATTCTTACAAATAGGACGGCTGAAGGAGAAGCGCCGACATCCTCCGTCTGCTGCTTTCCTGTCTTGTTTATTCGAATCATTAAAAGAAATTTTTCCTTTTTTTAAAAAAAAAGAAAAAGACGAAAAAAAATCACCTGACTGTTGGCTACCTTCATTGCTTCCCTAATCGGCCCCCCGTCCCCAGGACCTTGTGTCTTTGGGTGGGTGGGTGGGTGGCTCTGCTCCCTTTGCCTGGCCGCTTCTTGGGATGCCCCGATTTACAGATTTACAGGTAGTCCTCGACTTACGGCCCACAATTGAGCACATGGTTTTCCATGCTAAGTAAGAGGGTCGTTAAATGAGTTTTGCCCCATTCTGCAACCTTTCTTTCCACGGCTGTTAAGTGAAATCACTGCAGTCCTTAGTAAAACACGGTTCTCAAGCGAAGCTGACTTTGCTTGGGGATCGCGTGACCCACAGAATACTGCAACCGTCATAAATACGAGTCAGTTGCCAAGAATTCTGATGGTGTGACCATGGGGATGCTGCAACGGTCGTAAGTGTGAGAAATGGTCCCAAGTCTGGTTTTTTTTTCCAGTGCCCGTTATAACTCCAAACTGTCACTAAAGGAGTGGTGGTAAGGCAAGGGCTACCTGTATTTATGTCCCATCTTCATCATCATTATTATTTAAATAATAATAATAATAAAATTATTGGTTAATCTTTAGTGAGATTCACAGCCTTTGAGGCTGGTTAATAGCTCAGTTGTTGTTATTACTATTATTATTATTATTATTATTATTATTATTATTATTATTATTAAATCTTTAGTGAGATTCACAGCCTTTGAGGCTGGTTAATAGCTCAGCAGCTCGAGTCCTAACCAAGGACCTAGGAACTGTTAAGGTATCGTCGGAGGATGTAAGCTGTTCCGAGTAAGGTGGTTTTTTGTAGAGTCAAAATGTTCAAGTCCGGCAAATTTAGAATTTCTAAATAGCGGGGTAGCCCTTTGGGTATTGCTCCGAGGGCTCCAATTACAATCGGGGCAACACACGATTTCTTTTTCCACAGTCGCTCAACTTCAATTTGCAAGTCCCGGTATTTTGTGATTTTTTCTTGCTGCTTATCTTCAATCCGTGCATCACCAGGTATTGCAATGTCAATGAACCATCCTTTTTTCTTATTTTTTATTTTTTATTAATATTTTTCTTATTATTTTTCTTCTTCTTCTTATTATTATTATTTAAATAATTCAAGGCAGGAAACATACTTAAGTATACGTAGTCCCCAGCTTTTCATTTAGTGACTGTTCAAGGTTACAACGGCCCTGAAAACTGACTTATGACCGCCTTTTCCCATGGCCCTTCCTGCCAGGTGATCAGAATTCAGACGCTTGGCGAACGGCTCGTACTTAACGACGGCCGCGATTCTCCCGGTGTGTGTATGTGTGTCACGCCGATTCCTCTTTCGCGACTTTGATGAACAAAGTCAAGGGGGAAGATTCACTTCACCACCATTTTAAGAACAGCGATTCACTTAATGACGGCGGCGAGAAAGATCGTAAAACGGGGTGGAACCCACCGAAGTGTCCCCTTCGCAACGTAAATGTTGGGCTTCCGTTATGGTCGTAACAGGAGGACTCCCCGCTACTGTTTCCCACACAACAGCCCTGTGAGGTGGGCTGGGCCGATTGGTTTATTCATTTATTTATTTATTCAATTTATATATCAGATCGGTTGAGGCCGATCTCTTCGCTGCCCAGTTGAAACCCCACACGATAAAAATTAGGGGGGAGAAATCGCCTCTCCACCCCAAACTGCTGCTCTCTGAGGGCCTCCGCTCCATCTTCTGCCCCTCTGGTAGGGGAAGCTCCTCTCCGCGCATCCGCGACCAAAGGCGCCTCAATGAGGACTAGCCGCCTTCGGGGTCTCTTCCCTCTCTCGCAGCGCTCCGCCGTCTCCCTGGCAACGCGGCCCCCGCGCTCCCATTGGCCCTCCGGCGGGCGCCGCTATTCCCGCCCTCCCCGCGGCGCTCCCATTGGCGGGGACGGCGAGGCGCCGAGGCGAGCGCTCCCATTGGCCGGGCCGGCCGCTCGTCTCCGGGGCGGAGGGGAGGGAGGGGGTTCCGGTTCCGGTGTGGAGGCGGCAGGAGCAGCAGCAGAAGCAGCGCTGGCGGCCAAGCGAGCGTCGGAGGGGGCCGGGCCCAGCGCGGCGAGGACCACACGCCAGGCCCGCTCCCGCTCCCGCCCGGCAGGCAGCCCGCCATGAGGAGGCGGCGGCGGGAGCAGCAGCAGCAGCACCAGCCGCCCCTCGAGCCCTGAAGGCAGCCGAGCCCCGTAGGCCCCAACCCGCCTGGGGGGGAGCCGGCCCGGCCCAGCCATGGACAACCAGGTGAGGAGGAGGAGGAGTCCCCCCTCCCTCCCTCCCAGGAAGGGGCGGGGCCGGCCCTCATTGGGCGCGCGGCGGCCACGCCCACACCCTGTGGAAAGGGGCGGGGTTTGGGCAGCGAGCCACGAGGCTGGCCACGCCCACGGAGGTCCTCATGCAGCCCCCACCACCACCACCTCCCCCTTCCTGCCTTTTGTTCCTGGGGGGGGAGGGGCGGGTGTGAGGTGAGTGGGGTGCCCTCCCCTTTGAAAGGGGGAGGGGAGGGGGAAAACCACCTGCCCAGGAGGGAGGGAGGGGAGGAGCCTGCCCACCTGAAGGGGCGTGGCTTCCTCAAGGCAGGGGAAGCATGGGTAGGATAGGGTGATGATAGACTGTAATAAGAGTAGAATGTAGAATATGCTGGAAGGGACCTTGGAGGTCTTCTAGTCCAGCCCCCTGCTCAAGGGGATAGAGGGGAGCAGAGGTTGACACCCCCACCCCCATATTGCTGGAAGCTTCCTCTCCCGCCCTGCCCCCACCCTGGGATGCAGGCAGCATGCAAAACCCTCCCCCCCCAATCTGGGGGGGGGCTTTCTCCATGGAACCAGTCCCTGGTGCCCAAAAGGTGGGGGGGGGGTCACTGGTCTAGAGAAAAGAAGGACGAGGGAGGACATGATAGCAGGATTCCAGTATTTGAGGGGCTGCCCCAAAGAATAGGGGGGTCAAATTATTCTCCAAAAGCACCGGAAGGCAGGAGAAGAAGCGACGGATGGAAACTAATCAAAGAGAGAAGCAACCTGGAATTAAGGAGAAACTTCCTGACAGTGAGGACAATTAACCAGTGGAACTGCCTGCCACCAGAAGTTGTGGGTGCTTCACCACCGGAGGTTTTTAAGAAGAGGCTGGACAGGCACCTGTCTGAAATGGGAGAGGGTCTCCTGCTTGAGCAGGGGGCTGGACTAGGAGACCTCTGAGGTCCCTTCCAGCTCTATTCTGATTGATTGATTGATTGATTGATTGATTGATATAGGGAGTCTTCGATTAACAAGCACAATGGACCCCCAAAATTTATGTTGTTAAGTGGGACATTGGTTAAGTGAGTTTTGCCCTATTTTACATTTCTTGCCACATTAAGTCAATCACTGCAGTTGATAAGTTACTAACCTGGCCATTAAGTGGATCTGGCTTCCCCTGTTAACTTTGCGGTTCAGAAGGTCGCAAAAGGGGATCACCTGATCCCGGGATGCAGCCAAGGTCGTAAACATGAACCAGTGGCCAAGCGTCTGAATTTTGATCCGGTAATCCTGGGGATGGCTGTGAAAAGCCGCCCTAAGTCACATTTTTCAGCACCGCTGTAACTTTGAAGGGTCACGAAACGAACTGTTGTTAAATCGAGGACTACCTGTAGTAGGACCACGCTGACTTAACTGCCACAGTTGTTGGGTGAGTCCCGTGCGGTTGCAGCTGCCCACACTTGTGGGGTCGCCATTTGCGATCTCCCGTCGGCTTCCGCATGGGTCACTGCTGTGTGTCATGGAAATTCCACGCTGGGTAACGCTGCAATGGCTGCAACTACAAGTTGTCGTTCCTCGTTCAGTGCGGTACCTTCCAGCGGTCACTAAACAAGGGGTCGTCACCAAGGACGACCTGTATAGCAAAGGTGGGGAGCAGGCAACTCCGGTAGACATATAAACTATGCACAGTTGCAGTTTGTGCCAGTTTGGTAAGCTGCAAATAATAGCTTGTAAGCAGCCCCGAGTTTACCTATCCTCACAAAGTAGGTTTGCGTATTGCAGGAACATTAGAGTTTAGAATAACGGAGCTGAACCTTGTAGGTCACCTCGTTCAACCCCCTGCTGAAGCAGAAAACCCTGCACCATTTCAGACAAATAGTGGTCCAGTCTCTTCTTGAAACCCTGCAGTGATGAAGCAGCCACAACTTCTGGTGGCAAGCTGTTCCACGGGTTGATTGTTCTCACTGTCAGGAAGTTTCACCTTTAATTCCAGGTTGAATCTCTCCTTGATCAGTTTCCACCCATTATTCCTTGTCTGGCCTTCAGGTGCTTTGGAAAATAGCTTGACCCCCTTCCTCCTCTCTGGGGGAGCCCCTCAAATCTCAGAAGATGCTCTCCTGTCTCCCCTGGTCCTTCTCTTCACTAGACTAGCCAGGCCCAGTTCCTGCAACCGTTCATCATATGTTTGAGTCTCCAATCCCTTAATCATCCTAGTTGCTCTTCTCTGCACTTTTTCTTGAGTCTCAACCTCTTTTTTTATAGTGTGACCAAAACTGGATGCAGGACTCTAGGTGTGGTCTTCCTAAGGCTTTATAGAGTGGTCTTAGTACCTCCCTTGATCTTGATTGTATCCCTCTGTTAATGCATTTTAGGATTGCATTGGCTTTTTTGGCTGCCACCACACACAGCTCCGGCTCATGTTTTAAGTGTCTGTCCAGTAGGACTGCAGCCCAGCCCAAGACAAGGAACGATGGTAATTGGGGGAAAGAGAGAGATGAGCCTTCTGGTTAAGGTAGAAGAGAAGTTATTTAGTTATGTATCGATTGGATTTGTGCCATTCCTTCCAACTTTTGCACCCAGGGCATCTTGATCTGCAAAAGGAGGGAAAGGTTGCATCAACATTCAAACTCTGAGCATTCTTTGGGTATGTAAGGTAGATATTCATAAAAGTTGAAGCATAGGATCTAACTCTTTGTCGGACACCCAAAGCTAGAACTTGGGGGGTCCAAAAAGCCCATATTGGTGGGCCTACAGCAAAAGGCCCAGCATGGATATTAAAGTCAGCTGTGTAGTCACTGGGACCCCTCCTCCCTCTTTTTTTAACCGTTCCACCAATATTTGTGCCAGAAGACCTCTCAACAGTTGTGCAACATCTGTTCTCACCCTGCTACGTGCCTGGAGCGCTTTTGAGTTGAGTTCGTATCTTCCACCTGACAGCTGAGTGTTGGCTTAATGTCAGTTTATCCTCTTGCCCCACCACAGATAATCCTCGTGGGCACAATTGAGCGCGCAACATTTTGGTTGCCAAGCCAGACGGTGCTTAAGTGAGTTTGTCCCATGTAACGACCTCTCTTGCCCCAGTTATTAAGTGAGTCGCTGCCGATGTTCAGTTAGTAAAACGGTGGTGAAGCGAATCTGAACTGTCGCAAAAGGTGGTCGCGTGAATTCTGCAACCTTCCTAAACGTGAATCTGTTTGGGTGCTATGAACAGTCCCTAAGCATAAGGCCTCCTTGTGTTCCTCCACAGGCCATCCGCTCCTAAGCGCTATTTTTGATTACCTGCTTTTAGGCACCTACTTCCTCAGGTGAGGAAATGGTTTAGCCGCTGGGGCCTTAAAAGGCTGCAAAGGGCCCTCCTGAGGCTATCTGCTCTGGGCTAATCCCTTCGTTCCCGCAGACTCGTGGTAACGTATCCCAAAAGTGGCAGGAAAGACTTAACAACTGAAGAGGCAGAATGGGGGGTCCTGTGGGTTTGTTGTTGTTGTTTTGAGCTGCTTTGCTGTGCCCTTTCCCCACCCCCACCCCACCCCCTTACGGCTAGACAGCTAAGAAAACACAAGGTACACCTTTGCCTCCCAACCATGTGTGTGTGTGTTTGTAAATATCGCCCTATATTTGTACGGCAAGTCCTAATTCACAGTTGTGGAAGAGGGTTAAGCCTACAGACCTTGGATCTGTCATCTGGACGGAGAGGGCCGTTTGCGGGAAGCTTGGCCTGTAGTTTGCGCGTGAGAAATTAACGTGCGGTACCCTTTTTAATCTTTCCAATAATTGAGTGGGGGGCACAGATCCTGACTGTTAGGTTCTAAAATCAGTTTTGCTAAATTAACGTCCTTCAGGTAAGCTGTCTCCTGAGCTGCCGAGTTCCCAGCCAGTTGGGAAAAGCTGGTTTTAAACAAAGGAATTAAATCGTTTCAGGTCTTTCCTGAACTATATAAACAGTTGGTGTGACTTTTTTTTTTCTTTTTAAAGAAGTCACTGTTGCAGTTCACCAGCTAGATCTAACAGTCAAGTTATGTTTGCCTCCCTCCCTCTCTTCCTTTGCCCTTCCCCTCCCCTCCCACACCGCCTTCCCCCTTCCTAGTGTACAGTCCAGGTGAAGTTGGAGCTCGGACACCGCGCCCAGCTGCGCAAGAAGCCCACCACCGAGGGGCTTCACGCACGACTGGATGGTCTTTGTACGAGGGCCGGAGCAGTTTGAGATTCAGCACTTCGTGGAGAGGGTCGTCTTCCGTCTCCATCAGAGCTTCCCGAAACCGAAACGTGGTGAGTGAGCGAGCGCGTGATGCATAGCTGCCTGGCGCGTCCCAAGAGGCAACCTAGAAGTAAGGAGACATTTTCTGACCGTGGGAGCAATCAACCCATGGAACAGAAGTTGCCTTCAGAAGTTGTGGGAGCTTCATCCCTGGAAGCTGTCAAGAAGAGACGGGACTGCCACCTGTCAGAAATGGTGTAGGGTCTCCTGCTTGGGCGGGGGGTTGGACTAGATGACCCACAAGGTCCCTTCCAACTCTGTTCATCTAATCTCTTGAGGAGGAGGAGGAGGAAGAAGGAGAAGAAATGTTGCTTCTCATCCAAGAAGCTTCCTCGGTTGTGACTGGATGGTGGGAGATGCAAAGAGAGGTTCTGACAGGTTGGGAAGGGGCAAGAGAGACCCAGCTCGGGTCAGGGAGGACGCCCAAGGGTATGAGGGGGATGCCCAAGAGGCCCGGGGTAGGGGGAGGGTTGTGTGAGTCAGCAAAGGGAGATGCAAGAAGGGGGACGCAGGTTGGAGACGGGATGCGAGGGCTTTGGGTGGCACGGGTTGGGCAAGGGGCCCCAGGGGGTGAGCGAGAGGCCTGGTTCGGAGACAACACAAAGGGGTCGGGGGGAAAAGGTGTGTGAGGGGTAGAGAGGGTTGCAAATGTGTGTGAGTGGCCAGCGTGACACAAGCACAGAGGGACTGGGAGGGAGGACTGATGGGAGGGAGAGGACTACCCTGTGAGCTTTCCTGCCAGCTTCTCCATTGACTTTCTGGGGAAGCCAGCAGGGAAACTTGCCATCGGAGATCGCTCAATTCCAGGGCAATGCAACCGGCAACCGGTCATGGCTACAAAGCGGTTAACATGCACCCAGCTCACAATCAGGTGACACGTACACCCCCTTCCAGGGGTGCCAGGACCGCTGTCAAAACCACCTTTCCTTCAGTCAGCTGCTGAAAAAAACGGACGTAGCTCGAGGACTGCCTGTAAGCTGTTCCTGCACATGGATGAAATCGAATAGCATCCGGGAGGAACGGCCCCCGGGGTGACAGGAGTAGCTTTCAGCTGCCTGGGTGGTAGGAACCGCGGGGTGTGGCTTCTGTCCCCCCTCCTTTTATCGTGGAGGTCCTGGCGTCACGTCCCTCCGTGCGGTGGCTGCGAGCTTTCAACGTCCTCCCAAGGCATCCCTTCGACGGTTTCCAATGGCCCAGCGGGCTTCTTTTAACCCTGGCAGAGGGGTTCTAGGTAGTGGATACGGCCACCATCGGCCCTGACATTTCCGTTGTTAATTGGGTCGTTGGTTCAGTGAGCTTTGCCCCCATTTTACGACCTTTCTCGCCAGAGTCATTAAGGGAAACTAGCTCTCCCTTCCCCCCCCCCCCTTGACTTTGCTTGTCAGAAGGTCACGAAAATGAGGATGGCTCGTCCTTGGGACCCTGCAACTGTCATAAGTATGAGCCGGTTGCCAAGGGTCAGAATTTGGGTCACGTGACCACGGGGATGCGGCAAGGGTCGTACGTTGTGGGAAACGGTCTCCAGTCACTTTTTTCAGGGCTGTTGTCACTTCGGTCACTAAACGAGCTGTCCGGTATTGCCTGTAGATCACATTATGGGCACATTATCCCACCGTTTTGATTCTCCTCCCTGCCGTTTGCCTGGTTTACATGGTCCTGTTGGGGGGGTTTGCTAATGCTCCTTTTTGCTTCCCCCCCCCCCCTACACACAGTTTGCAAAGAGCCCCCTTACAAAGTGGAGGAGTCTGGCTACGCGGGGTTCATCATGCCCATTGAGGTCTACTTCAAGAATAAGGTATCGTTTTATTTTCTTCCTCCTCCCTGCATTTCATCTCCTGGCCAACCCCAGGAACTAATTTCACCTTCCTGTTTTACATCTTTTATATTCATATCTCGCCTTCTAAATCCGAGGCAAGATATGGATGGACAGAAAATCTGCTCTTTTTCCTAAGACAGTAATGAGTAATGCATGTTTAGGCATTCCAGCTTTTATCTAGCCCTGCCTCTGCAGATCATTCTGGAAGGAGATTGGATCCTTCCTTCTTTCTCACCCCAAATTCATTACCTTCTGTTTTCTCCCTGCCTTTCATTTCCTTCTGGCCAACCCCGGGAACCAGTTTCACCTTCCGAGTCAAGATATGGATGAAGAGAAAACTTTGCTCTTCTCCTAAAACCATAATAAGTAGGGTGTTTCCCCAAAATAAGACCCAAGAAAATAAGCCCTAGCATGATTTTTTCAGGATGCTCGTAATATAAGCCTCCAAAAAATAACCCCCACTAAGATCGTCAGCCAGACGGACGCATTTAGTACCGTACTTCCCCGAAAATTAGACCTACCAGAAAATAAGCCCTAATATGTGTCTTTTGCAGCAAAAATTAATATAAGGTCCGGTTTATTTTCGGGGAAACGGGTATGTTTAGTTCATTCCAGCTCTGATCGATTCCATCTGTGCTGATCATTCTGGAAGGAGATAGTAACAAAGTGTAATATTGGGTTTTAATTGGATTGTTTTAAATTGTGGGCCAAAGCTGTATAATTCTTTTAATTGATTTTAAATTTTGTATTGGTATGTTTTTTATCCTTGGCTGTGCATCGCCTTGAGTCCAATAGGAGAAGGGCGGTATATAAATTGAATAAATAATAATAACAACAACAACAACAACAACAACATCCTTTCTTCTTTCTCACCCCAAATTAATTAATGTCCCTCTGGGAAAATAGATGAGCCTTTCACCTCAAAGCTCATGTCCAAAATGTTTTGGGCAAATTAGTTAAAAAAAAAACCAAAAACCGGTGCCATTTTGAAGGCTGTTTCTACCACCAACCATGGCATGGTGACAGCTAAGGTGACACCAGGGCTGCTCCTGTACGAATCGGCCAACGCAGGATTTTGCCATCTTGTAGCCAAGATTTTGTTGATATATCCGAATGCTCCCATCCTGTACTTCGACCCTGCTTTGAATGTTTACAGGGCCTCCTCCACCCCCCAGAAGGATTTGCCAACAATGTGGTGGAGTTTGGAGTGAATTTTTCCGGTTACGCTCCGTTCTTCTCGTTCGGCTGTTTTAGCTGCCCGAACACGGGAGAGCTGTCGAAATCACAGGATAGAGACTCGTGCAATCGGTTTCAATCTCTTGAGATTTTTTTTCCCTCTGCTTTCACAGGAGGAACCGAAGAAAGTGTGTTTTACCTATGACCTTTTCCTAAACCTGGAAGGAAACCCCCCGGTGAACCATTTGCGCTGCGAGAAGCTCACCTTTAATAACCCCACCAAGGAATTCCGTCACAAACTCATCAAAGCCGGAGGGGTGAGTAATGAAGGGAGGCAGCCCCTTCCTAGGGACCAGGAGAACAAAAACTGTCTAGTGGTTCTTTTTTCTGTTTGTCGTGTTGTCTGGCCGTGGCATCTGGGAGAGAATGTGATTGACTCTCTCCATCTGGCTTTTTTCCTACAGGAGATTAAATGATTGCTTCTCCAGGCAGCTTAAAGAAATGTTGGACGTTTTAAATTTGGTTCGGTCTGAGTAGGACCATTACTTTGTGATTGCTGTTTTTATGCCCTTCGATTTGCTTGGTTTTCATTCTCTTAAAATTCACACACTGTTCTTGGGTTAGTCTTGGTGGTAGCAAAGCGGTTGAAAAAAATCAGTAAATCAAAAAGTATACTCAGAAATTAATTAAAAAAAGTATGGTGATGGGTTTTTGCTTTTTGATATTGGTTCTTTGAGACTAAAGAATAAGACTAGAAAAGATGTGGGAAAAACATCGTTCCTTTCACTCTTTGTAACAGTACTAGAGCTAGGACTCACACAGGCGGTCCTTGATTTAACGGGATCACGTGACCCCAGGACACTGCGTCCGTCATAAATACGAGTCAGTTGCCAAGGGTCTGGATTTTGATGGGAATGCTGCAGTGGTCCTAAGTGTGAAAAATGGTCATAGTGCCGTTGTCACTTGGAATGGTCCCTAAAATGAAGCGTTGTAAGTTGAGGACTACCTGTGAAATGGACGAGATAATGAGTGAACGCTTTAAACTCCAGCAGAGGAGAATATTTGTAGCTCAAGAGTTGAAATGAGGGCATCCTTGGTACTTGGTGGTTTCCTTGCAGCCGTTTTGTGACCCAAAAGGTGCTGTCCCAAAGGTGCTTTTTTTTTTCAAGAGGCCACTGGACTTCCTGGTTTTTCTTTGAAGACGTTTCGCTTCTCATCCGAGAAGCTTCTTCAGAGCTGAAGTCCAGTTGCCTCTTGAAAAAAAAAGCCCCTTTGGGAGAACCAGGACCTGGATGGCTAAGAATCTCCATGGATGTTTTCAGGGCTATTGCTCCCTTCAGCACTGAAGATGTTGCTTAGTCGACTAAAGGAACATCTGCAGGAAAACAACCAAGCACAGAGGACTGCACTATCTTCTCTTCCTCCTCCTCCTCCTCCTCTTCTCAAACCCCACTTCCTTCTAGCACTGATGACGTTCCCTAGTTGGGTAATCAAACATCAAGGACCCCTCACTCTAAACTCCTCCAGAATGCCGAGAAAGTCCATCTTAACTCTTCCGAAGCCCACTGGTGGCTACTTGGTGTGGTGGAACATAGCCTGGAGTCCCAGAAAGGCCACGGGGGTGGGGGGGGTTACTTCTCTGAGGGCAAAGAGGCAGTGGATTGTCTGGAAGGCTGGATGAAAGTCAGAAGGGCCCCTCCCTGAGACTTCACCAAGTTGCCTCCTTCCGTGTCCAGATCAGCCTTCAAGCTGCCAGAAGGAAGCCGCCTTCTTGGCTTTGTCGTTGGCCCCAAAATAAGACATGATCGGTACATGTTCGTATGGTACGATTAATGATTGGTAACTGTAATCTATGTCACTTGCTGTTCGTATGTACAATGACAGCTTCTGCACCAGAGGCAAATTCCTTCAAAGAATTTGGTTCCGTTCCCTGGTAGTAGCCGAAATACTAGCAGATACCAGGGCTCTGCGTCTCTCCACATCCACCCAGTGTGATGTTATCCACAAAGAGCTTCTCCTTCAGCATCTTGGCTTTACATTGAGGGACTCCCACTTTCAACCTATTCAGGGTTCTCCAAGTAGTATAAGGGAGGTCAGATCCTTCAGCCGTATCCTCCTTAAATGTCGTCCCTCGCTCAGTGGTCTCCTTCCTCCATCTTTTCATTCAATTTTGTTCTTGTGTCCTCGCACGAGTGTTGGTTCTTGCCAGAAGGCCATCCCTCAATCTGAGTCCGGCGGGCTTGGGGCCCATTGTCCGTTCAGAGGACATTGAGCGTCGTCGCCTCGCTTCATTCTCTCGGCCTCTGCCGCTACTTCTGTCCCGACCTTGAGTGGGGCCGGAGGAGATGTTTTCTCTTAATGCTCACAGCGTATATCTATAGTTATGCAAGTGGTTGGTTTAGCCTGGCAAGATTCTGCCTATAAGATGAACAGCAACGAAGAATAGAATAGGAATGGAATGGAATGGAATAGAAACAGAGTTGGAAGGGACCTTGGAGGTCTTCTAGTCCAACCCCCTGCTTAGGCAGGAAACCCTACACCACATCAGTCAAATGGTTGTCCAACCTCTTCTTAAAAGCTTCCAGTGTTGGAGCATTTACAACTTCTGCAGGCAAGTTGTTCCACTGATTGATTGTTCTCACTGTCAGGAGGTTTCTCCTTAATTCCAGGTTGCTTCTCTCCTTGATGAGTTTCCACCCGTTGCTTCTTGCCCTGCCCTCAGGTGCTTTGGAGAATAGCTACTCCGGAGTAACTCCGGAGTAACTCTTGTGTGTCTTTTTTGACTGGCTGGCTGGGGAATTCTGGGAGTTGAAGTCCACGAGTTTTCAAGTGGCCAGATTTGGGGAGACGCCCCTGATCTAGGCTCTTGCCTGATGAGAAGCAGAGGTAGAATTTCCAAGATTGATCATCGATTTTTCCCCAGGTGATGGTCATGCCGGAAGGTGCAGAAACGGTCTCCAGGCCGAGTCCTGACTACCCCATGCTTCCAACCATCCCTCTCTCGGCCTTCTCTGATCCTAAGAAGTCCAAACCATCTCATGGGTCAAAGGTGAGTCACTTTGGAATGCAGGTAGTCCTCGATGTACGACCATAATTGAGCCCCAAATGCCTGTGGTTAGCGGAAAGACTTGTGAAGTGAGTTTTGCCCCTGTTTTACAACTTTCCTTGCCATAGTTGTTAAGTGAGTCACTGCAGCTGTTAATGTTAGTATCGTATAACGTGGTTGTTACGGGAGTCTGGCTTCCCCCTTGGTCAGAAGGTCGCAAAAGGGGATCACGTGACCCAGGCACACTGCAGCCGTCACAAGTACGAATCCGTCGCCAAGCATCTGAATTCTGAACATGTGACCCCGGGGATGCTGCAATGGTCACACGTGTGAAAAACCATCATGTCACTTTTCTCAGTCTCGTCGTAACTTGGAACGGTCACTAAATGAAAAATATTAACAGAGGCACATAGGTGTATAAACAATGTTTTTCAGCCAAAAAAAAAAAAAAAAGGAAAATTGGAAATCATAATCCTAAAATATATCCATAAAATATGATGGTTGTGGAGATTCTCAGTCCTCCAGGTGGTGATTGTCCTGAAGGGGCTTTTCTTTTCTTTTTTTTGCAAGAGAAAACTGGATTCTCTTTCTTTTTCTCGGAAGACGTTTCGCTTCTCATCCAAGAAGCTTCTTCAGCTCTCAGAGCGAAACGTCCTCCGAGAAAAAGAAAGAGAATCCAGTTGGGGGAGTGGAAACCGCTCCCCCCCCCCACCTTTGGCCCTTGGAATGGTTAATTGTTGAAAATAGCTTCTAATGAACACCAGAATGTCCATTTAATTAGTCACATCTTATCCCAAAGAGAAGAGAGTTCCGGAAACTGCTTTGGTGGGGAAGGAGAGAGAAAATTGCAGGGAAACCACAGTTCTGGCTGTTTTCTTGCAATTAGAAAAAGTCCTGAGGTGGGAAACCGATCCAGTTTTTTACTCTCGTTCCAAAGTGCAGAATGAAACAGTCGGCACCAATTTCTGAACAGTCGGAGTCGTTCAACACCGTTAGTTGAGCAGGAGGTGGCATCTATTTCATTTGGTGACAACGGCGCTACATTGCCAAAGATGACTTACCGTTTTTCACACTTAACGGCCGTTGCAAGCATCCCTAAGGTCTCGCGATCAAAATTTCCGACGGTCGGCAACTGGTTCACATTTACGACGGTTGCAGTGTCTCAGGCGGGCGGGGGGAGTGTGTCACGTGATTCCCCTTTTGCAACCTTCTGAGACAAGCAGAGTCCACCGGGAAGCCAGATTGCCTTAACAACCGTGTTACTAGCTTACTAACTGCAGGGTTTCGCTTAACAGCTGTGGCTAGAAAGGTCATAAAATGGGACGGAACTCGCTTAACGGTCTTGCTTACTTAGCGGCAGAAATTTTGGGCTCAATTGGGGGTCGTAACTCAAGAACTACCTATATTAGAGCAAAATTGCCTTTACGAGGCAATTCAAGGTGCGTGCTGTGTTTCCCACTGGTGTAAGCTGGTGTTTTAGTTGCTACCCATAAAAACAGGCCTTCTCCACGCCAAGGTGATTCTGTAAGTCATGATTTAGTCTTTCTGAAAGAGCCTTTCTCGGCCCACCCAGGAACCCTACAAAGTTTTTGTTTTCTCCCCAAAGTTAACCACTGTTGATGTGATTTTGTGCCCTTGGAGGAATTGGGTATGTCTAGTTTAATGGGAAGAGGGGCTGGGGAGACATGATGGCAGCCTTCCAATATTTGAGGGGCTGCCATAAAGAAAAGGGAGTTAAGCTATTCTCCAAAGCACCTGAAGGCAGGACACAAGAAGCAACGGGTGGAAACTAATCCAGAGATTATAGACTGGGTGAAACCGGGCTTAATAGCAGGGACTGTGAGAGGGATCTTGGAGTCTTAGTGGACAAAAAGTTAAACATGAGCCAGCTGTGTGCAGCAGCAGCCAAAAAAGCCAACGCAATCCTAAATTGCATTAACAGAGAGAGGAATACAATCATGGGAGGTACTAATTCCCCTCTATAAAGCCTTAGGAAGGCCACGCCTAGAGTCCTGCATCCAGTTTTGGTCCCCACACTATAAAAAAGAGGTTGAGACTAGAAAGAGTGCAGAGAAGAGCAACCAGGATGATGAGGGGACTGGAGGCTCAAACATACGAAGAACGGTTGCAGGAGCTGGGCCTGGCTAGTCTAGAGAGGAGAAGGACCAGGGGAGGCAGGAGAGCATCTTCCCGTATTTGAGGGGCTGCCCCAGAGAGGAGGAAGGGGGTCGAGCTATTCTCCAAAGCACCTGAAGGCCAGACAAGGAATAATGGATGGAAACTGATCAAGGAGAGATTCAACCTAGAAATAAGGAGAAATTTTTCCGACCGTGAGAGCCATCAACTCGTGGATCAGAAGTTGCCTTCAGAAGTTGTGGGAACTTCATCCCTGGAAGCCTTCAAGAAGAGACTGGACTGCCATCGGTCAGAAATGATGTATGGTCTCCTGCTTGAGTGGAGGGGGTGGGGGTTGGACTAGTTGACCTACCAGGTCCCTTCCAACTCTGTTATTCTGTTATTTCTTTTTCCTCTGATATCTAGGAGGTGAGCAAAGAGGGGGGCAAACTCTCCAAGCCCCACAAAGTCACCCGTGAGCATCGCGAGAGGCCCCGGAAAGACTCGGAGAGCAAAGGCTCGTCTCGAGACCCAGAACGGGAAGCCGGCAAGGCCGCCAAGGAGCCCTCCAAGAAACACGCCACCGAGAACAAAGGGCCGAAGGAGGAGAAGCCCCTCCCCAAGGCCGCTCTCAAGGAGGCCAAGCTGGCCCTGAAGGAGCACAAGCTGGAGAACGCCTCGCCCAAAGGGGCGCCCCCGGCCCCCGAAGGGAAGTCCTCGGCCAAGCGGCCCCTGACGGTGGAGTCGCCCAAGCCCATGGCCAAGAAGCTGAAGAAGAACAGCTCCAAGGGAGCCAAGACCGTCCCCACCAACACCCACCGTCCCACCAACACCACCACCTCCTCCTCTTCCTCCTACGCGGAGAAGAAGCTGCCCAAGGAGAAGGTGCCCAGCGCCAAAGCCGAGAAGCCCAAGCCGGAGAGCGAAGCCAAGGCCATCAAGAAGCCCGTGGAGGTGACCGTGGCCGAGGAGTCCAACTCGGAAGACGAGGCCTCGCTCAAGTCCGAGGTGAGGGCCGGCCCAGCCCACTCGCTCGGCTGCCCATTTGTGGCTTGTTTTTTTGCCCAGGACAATCGAGGAGTCCTTGACTTAACAAACAGTCCGTTTAGTGACTATTCAGCACTGCACTCGCACTGAGAAAAGGGGCAGGCGACCCACATTTAGGATGGTCGCCGACATCCCTGGGGGTGTCGTGTGGTCCCTCTTTTGCGACCGCCTGACAAGCAAAGTCCAAGGTGGGGGGGGGAGGGGAGAAAGCCAGATTTGCTTCCTTTCCTGTGTGATAAGCTGAACAATTTCAGGGATTGGCTGAAGAAACATGGTGAGGGAAGTTTGTACAAATGGGACCAAATTCACTTAGCGACACAAATGTTGGGCTCGATTCTGGTTATAAGTCGAGGACTACCTTGAATATATATACAGATATACAGATATATATACAGATAGATAGATAGATAGATAGATAGATAGATAGATAGATAGATAGATAGATAGATAGATAGATAGATAGATATATTGCTAGAAAGAAAAACTTCATGTACTGGTAGGATTTTAGCTAAGGTTTTAAAGGACCTTGCAGAGTGCTCTGTAAGGATTTTTGGAAGATTTTAAGCTAGGATTTTAACCAGAATTTTAAACATTTTAACTAACTTATTTAACATGATGCGGGAAAACACCCGAGATTTTAATTTTTTGCATATACACACTCGCAAAAACTTAAGACATATAGATATAGATATAGATATAGATATAGATATAGATATATTCTGAGGTTTTCGCAGGTATTTGTATGTAGGTCTTTGGTTATTCGGGTTTTCTCCCGCGTAAAATTAGAAGTGTCTTGGCAACGTTTCGACGAAGTCTCATTCATCATCTTCAGGCTGGCGTTTTCGGCTTCGTGCTTCTAGGAGCTTCTAGGAGTTAAAAGGAAGAAACAGCTGCAATCACACACATTGCCCCTAGAAGCACGAAGCCGAAAACACCAGCCTGAAGATGACGAATGAGACTTCGTCGAAACGTCGCCAAGACACTTCCAATTTTACGCGGGAGAAAACCCGAATAACCAAAGACCTACATATATAATATATTTTAACTGCATACTGCCCAGAGTCACTGACTGACATGGTTGGCGACAGAAAATGAATGAATGGGTGGATGGATGGATAGGTGAGTGGACAGATGGATGGATGAGTGGATGAGTAGATCGATGGGTGAGTGGATGGATGGAGGGATGAATGAGTGGGTGGGAGGTTGAATGAATGATTGATCCGAGAAGGAAGGGAAGAGGCAGGGGGCTCTCTATTTTATTGACATTCTTCTCTCTCCTTCTTCCTTTTCTGGGGGCGGCAAAGTCTGCCGTATCCAGTCCTTCCAACTCCAGTTCCAGTTCCGACTCCAGCTCCGACTCGGATTTCGAGCCGTCTCAGAACCACAGTCAAGGTGCGTGGCCTTCGGTCGCTTGCCCCGTCCCCCGAACTCTGGCTTTGGACGAAGCCTTGGTGCCAGGCGGCTGTCGGTCTGAGCAGCCTCCCCACACCCAGCCCAGCCACCGCTGAATGCCCAGCCTCTGTCCTGCAGCCGACGGCCTGGTCCTCCTGGGCAGCCATTGGGCACCTTGACCTCTTAGGTCAGAATCTCTCGACCGTGGCAACTTTAAGAGGGGTGGACTTCAACTCCCAGAATCCCCCAGCCAGGAAGGGGAATGAAGCCCACCTTAAGCAGATGGGTACATAGTGAACCTGGCGGAGTAACAGGGGCCATCCCAGGGCCCCCTCCCCAAAGATTGCTCCCAGGGCCACGCTGTGCATCAGCCAAAAGTTTCCAAACGGACTTCAAGGGTGGCCCCGTGAAGAGCGAAGGTCCGCCAGCATTGTCGCCAGGCCGCCTCGCCAGGGGACGCGAGGACACAGAGGCAGCCGGGTCACCTGCACCCAACCCCTTAGAAGGCCCGAACTCAGACTGCCCCGCGCCTGACCCGGTTCCTCCCAGCCCCGAACCCGTGCCCCTTCTCCAGCTCCCCGTTTTTTGTAATCGGCTGGGCTTCCTGCTTGCAGGGCCACTGCGTACCATGGTGGAGCACCTGCAGTCGGAAGAATCGGACGAGGACGACAGCTCCTCCGGAGAAGAGGTGGCCGTGAAGTCCACCCCCATCAGCAGAGAGGCCAGGTGAGAGCGGGAACGCTGCCCCCACGCCCTCCCTCCCCCCCCTTCTTCTTCTTTTCCTCCCAGCTCGCCTCTGTTCCTCTCTGCAACCCTTGAGGATCAGGAAGGCGAAAGAAAGCAGAGAGGAGGAAGCTGCCCTTTCAGAACCTTTTCTTTCTTTCTTTATAATCTTTATTGTCAAGTGTGCACAGTGACACACATTAAAAATGAAGTTGTGTTGCCTGCTCTCAAAAGTGTACACATACATAACATGCGAAAGGAATGGAATAAGAGGAATAGGAGTAGGAGTAGGAATAGAATAGAATAGAATAAGGAATAGAGTAGAATAGAATAGAATAGAATAGAATAGAATAGAATAGAATAGAATAGAATAGAATAGAATAGAATAGAATAGAATAGAATAGAATAGAGAATGGGAAGAAAGGAAGAAGGGGAGAGGGGAAGGGGAGAGGAAGAGAAGAGATATATGGATAGGATAGGATAGGATAGAATGGGAAGAGGAGAGAAAGAGAAGAGAATATAGGAATAGAGTAGAATAGAATAGAATAGAATAGAATAGAATAGAATAGAATAGAATAGAATAGAATAGAATAGAATAGAATAGAATATGGGAAGAAAGGAAGAAGGGAAGAGGGGAAGGGGAGAGAAAGAGGAAGAGAGGAAGAGAAGAGAATATACGGATTGGATAGGATAAGATAGGATAGAATGGGAAGAGGAGAGAAAGAGAAGAGGAGAATATAGGAATAGAATAGAACAGAATAGAATAGAATAGAATAGAGGAATGAATAGAATAGAATAGAATAATAGAATAGAGTAGAATAGATAAGGAATAAGGAGAGGACAGGATAGAAATAGAAATAGAAATAAATAGAAAAAGAAAAAGAAGAGAACAAGAGGAATAGAACCGGTCTTCTAGTCCAGCCTCCTGTTCAATCTCTTATAGATATGACCTCCGCCTGACTTTCTCTCCTCCTTGGTGTGGGGCTCTACCTCCCCCACTGCCCCAACTTCTCCCCTAATTCCCAGCCCTCCCTTTTTCAGGCTCAGCCACAGCGACAGCGATACCGACAACAGCGCCGACTCCTGCCTGCCGAGTCGAGATACGCCACCCAGGCAGAAGGGGCCCTCCGCTAACAATAAGGTCAGCAGCATCCTTCCGCTACGAAGCCCGGCGGCCTCCAGCCCTGGGAAACCAGCTCAGCCGTGCCGCCCCCCCCTCCCCCTCTGCTGCCGCCACAGGGGCGGGGGTGGAGGGCACAAACACCCACCCACCAGTTGCCCAGACAGGGGACGGGGGCTCGTTGGAGCCAGGGTGCGTGAAAAGACCTGCCCCCTCCTAACGTGCTTCTAGAACTTTGAATTAAGTTGGGAAGACGGTGGGGAGTCCGCCCTGCTGCTCCCTGGAACCGGCTCAGAGGAAAAGCCATCAGCCCAAAGATTAGGGGGCTCTTCCCCAGCTAGAAATGGAATTGGACAACTCACCACAGCCGTCTTGCCGTGGCCAATTCGCCACCGGAGAGTTCCAGACACGGGAGAACTCCCTGTCACTCTTTCTTTCTTGATTTCCATTGGCCAAACTGGAAATAATGTCCGGCCGTTGTAACTTTGAACGGTACCTAAACGAACCGTCGTATGTCGAGGAGTGCCTGCACCAGTTTTTATGCGGGAGGGGAGGTTCTTCATTCCTGATCCCGTTGCCAGAAGGAGCCGGATGAGGCTGGCTTTCAGGGCTCGAATCACAACCGCTTGCTTAGCGACCGTTGGAAGTCATAACGACGTTGAAAAAAAAGTGACTTATGACCGGTTTTTCGCACTTATGACCGTCGTAGCCTCCCCACGGTCACGGGATCTAAATCGGGACGCTTGGTAACCAGTTCATACTTACAATAGTCACAGTGGGATCCCCTTTTGTGATCTTTTGACGAGCATAGCCAAGGGGGGAGGAGCTGGATTCCCTTAAGACCCTCTGGGATTCGCCTCACTGCGACCAAGGAAGGTCGTAAAACAGGACAGGACTCCCGTAACAAAATGTCCTTTGGAAATTCTGGGCTCAGTTGTGGTCATTAAGTCGAGGACTGCCTGTACAGGTAGTAGTCCTCAACGTATCGACCAGAATTGAGCCCAAAATTTCTGTTGCTAAGCCAAACTGTGGTTAAGTGAGTTTTGCCTCATTTTACGACTTTCCTCACAGTGGTTAAGCCAATGGCTGCCATTGATAAGTTAGTCACCCGGTTGTTAAGTGAATCCGGCTTTTCCCCCATCGACTTTTGTTTGTCAGAAGGTCGCAAAAGGGGATCTCGTGAACCCCGCCCCCTCCCCCCGGGGACTCCACGCCCATCATAAATACGAGCCAATTCAAATATGATCACGTAACCACCGTGATGCCGCAGCCACGGTCGTAAGTGCGAAATGCGGTCACGACGTCCTTTCCCCCCCCCCAACACCGTTGGGACTTGAAACGGTCACTAAATGAATGGTCACTAAACAGAGGGCTACCTGTGTTTGGTGCATGGCTGTTGGGAAACGAAATCTGCCCTTTTTCCAATTCTTCATCCGCTTTCCCTCTCAGGTGTCTGGCAGGAAAAGTCCAGAGTCCTGCAATAAACCGGAGAAGATCTTGAAGAAAGGGACTTATGACAAGGTACGTCCACCCGAAATTGGGGGGGGGGGCGCTCTGGAGTTTATTTATTTATTTTATTTATTTATTTTATTTTGAATTTGTATACCGCCCTTCTCCCTGAGGACTCAGGGCGGTGAACAGCCAATAAAAACATCAAGTACAAATATTAAAATACAATTAAAAATATATATATAAATTTGCCCCCATTAATTAAAAACGATAAACAAAACAATTAAAAACACTTAAAAAATTATTGTTGGGGAGAGTCAGAGACAGGTGGGCTCCTTTGCAGCTCACCTGTCTCGGAGGCTGTTTTGGGCACAGAGGGGCATCTCTTCGCCCCGGCAGCTTCTTCCCGGAGGTTTTCCTGCGCTCACTCCTGCCTGATGCCGATTGGCTAAGGACCACGCCAGTCAGTCTCCAAGCGGGGGGGGGGGGGAGAGAATCCGGCGGAGGCGGGCTCTTCCCCATTTGCCGTGATGCAGAAGCAATGCAGCCTTGCGGAAAAGGGGGACCGGCCGTGGCAATAATAATAATAATAATAATAATTTTATTTCTATACCGCCCTTCTCCCGAAGGACTCAGGGCGGTGTATAGCCTATTTAAAAACACAGAAACAAAACAATTAAAATTTAAAATCATTAAATAATTAGGCTCCAATTTAAAAACCCAGAAATTTAAAATACCCCAATTTAAAACGTTATGTTAATAGCCCGGCCTGGCGGAACAACAGGGTCTTCAGAGCGCAGCGAAACACCCAGAGGTCGGAGATCTTACGTATTTCCGGGGGCAGTTCGTTCCACAGGGCAGGGGTTCCCACAGAGAAGGCCCTCCCCCTGGGTGTCGCCAGCCGACATAACTTGGCCGATGGCACCCTGAGGAGACCCTCGCTGTGGGAGCGGACTGGCCGGTGGGAGGCTACTGGTGGCAGAAGACGGTCTCGAAGGTATCCGGGTCCAATGCCATGGAGCGCTTTAAAGGTGGTGACCAACACCTTGAATCGCACCCGGAAGACCACTGGGAGCCAGTGCAGCTCGCGCAGGAGGGGTGTCACGTGGGCGCAACGGGTTGCACCCATAACCACCCACGCGGCCGCATTCTGGACCAGTTGGAGCCTCCGAGTGCTCTTCAAGGGGAGCCCCATGTAGAGAGCATTACAATAGTCCAGCCGGGAGGTGACAAGGGCGTGAGTGACCGTGCGCAGGGCGTCCCGGTCCAGAAAGGGCTGCAACTGGCGAATCAGGCGAACCTGATAAAAGGCCCCCCTGGCCACGGCCGTCATGTGCTCTTCTAAAGACAGCCGTGCATCCAGGAGGACACCCAGATTGCGAGCCCTCTCTGTGGGGGGGGCAAAGATTCACCCCCAATAGCCAGCGATGGCACCTGCTGACTATATCAGGGCGCCGGAAGCCACAGCCACTCGGTCTTGAAGGGGTTGAGTCTGAGCCTGTTCCTCCCCATCCAGACCCGCACGGCCTCCAGGCAGCGAGACATCACATCAAGGGCATCGTTGGGGTGGTCTGGGGTGGAGATGTACAGCTGAGTAAGCCAAAGGAATCACAGGGTCGGTCCTCGGCTTAACGGCCGCGCGGTCGGGACTTACGTGGCTAAGCGGAGTGCGATCCTTGAGTGGGCGCCGTGCCTGGTTTTGCAAGCTTTCATTCCGTTGCGACAGTTCAGCAAACGGCGTGGCCGTTAACCGAATCGCGCAGTCGTTAAGTGAATCCGATACCCCCCTCCCCCCCCATTCACTTTGCTTGTCAGAAAGGATGTAAATGGCCATCGTGTCGCACACACACGCACACACATGAGAGAGACACCGCTTGCCAGTGTCCGAATTTTGATCCCATGACTTCTGCACTGGTCATAAGCGCGAGGATGGGTCATAATTCCTTTTTTTTAGCACCGTTACAATGTTGGTCCTTAAACGAATGGCCGTTAAATTGACGAACTAACTAATCTGGTCTTCCTAACCCCCCCTTTCATTCCCCCCCCGCCAACCAGGCCTACACGGATGAGTTGGTGGAGCTTCACCGGCGGCTGATGGCTTTACGAGAACGCAACGTGCTGCAGCAGGTGAGAAGCGGGTCAGGGGGCTCTGCCAGGTGAGGGCGGGGAGGGCCTTTTCTTGGCTTTGCAGATCTGGCGGTCTTGAAGTGACACAGCCCTGTCAATTGGAGAGGGGGGGGGGGATACATTTTCAGAATGGCCGGGACCAGTGATTGCAGGCAGGGTCCCAAAAGCAGAGTCCTGGTGGCCCAGGTGTCAGAATGCAGCATGGCAGGCTAACTCACTGCCCACTGCCGGCAGTTTGATCCTGACTGGCTCAAGGTTGACTCCGCCTTCCGTCCTTCTGAGGTCACTAAATAAGGATCCAGATAGTTGGGGGCAACCGGCTATCTCTGTAACCCACTTAGCATTAGCAATATAGCAATATCGCTTAAACTTATATACCGCTTCACAGTGCTCTACAGCCCTCTCTTAAGCGGTTTACAGAGTCAGTGAATTGCCTCTTAACAATCTGGGTCCTCTTTTTACCGACCTCGGGAAAGGACGGAAGGCTGAGTCAACCTTGAGCCGGTCAAGGATCGAACTACTGGCTGTGTGGGCAGAGTTTTTGCCTGCAGTGCTGCGATGCAACCACTGTGCCACCAGGGGTCATTAGAGAGCCTGCCAAGCATTTAGGAAGCGGCATAGGAGTGGAAGCGTCACTGCTGTGGCTATTAAAGTGATCGCTGCACAATTTGAAGTCACGTCGTCCTTCCATAATTACATTATATTCCGTTGTCCTAATAATGCTCCAAAGAGATTAAGAACGAAGGCGAAGGCTGCTATGGAGAGCAGGAAGGGGGGGAAAGCAGGCAGTCCTGGGACGTCTTGCGGCCTAATCCCAGAATGATGCCACCCTTGCCCGTGGGGAGGCCAAACACCGGCAGGAAAACCAATTCGTATTTAGAATCCGCGCTAGGAAGGGGCCCTTCAGGTCATCTAGTCCAGCCCCCTGCTCCCTTCAGGATCCTGTCAGACTTCGTTGCTATCTCAAAATAAATGAATTTCCAAACTGCCAATTTTTAAGGAAATCTTTTCTTTAATTGAGCACAGCCACCGGATCATGACTCGATGCAGACAAGACTGACCTTTGCCCCCCAATCCCTCCCTTTCCGATCCCCAAATCTCTGCTTCTCATTGGCTATCTTCCAAGCCATTCTCCAGACTTCTTGTCTCGTCATTTCCCAGGAATGTCCCCCCTCCTCATTTCCACGACAACCCGACTTCAAAGGGATTTAGCAGGCAAAAGTTCAGAGCTTATCTCTCTCCTCTGCTCTCTTTGCCAGTGTTGAAGCACTGACAGATCCTCTGACGCATGACCTGCAGCCTCCCGGGATTCCTTGGACCAGCAGAAACTGGGAATTCCAGGAAACTGGGAGGCAGGCGATGAATTGGTGCCCCCCCCCAAGCCCACTTCAGAGGGTGACGCCCACAATTCAGAGCGATTAATTTTCCAAATTGAAAATGGGTTCAGGGAGGAGAGGAGGAGGCTGCACGCCAGTCTGAATTTTACCCTCTTGCGTTAGGGCCTCCTATATGCGGTCCTCGACTTACGATCACAATTGAGCCCCAGATTTCAGTTGCTAAGCGAGACGGTTTTTAAGAGAGGTTCGCCCCACGTCACGACCCTTCTTGCCGCGGCTGTTAAGTCCATATTCAGTTAGTAACCCCCGTTGGTCAATGAATCTGGCTCCCCCCTTGATTAGGCTTGCCAGAAGGTCGCAAAAGGGGATCATGTGACCCCGGGACACTGTGACCGTCATAAATATGAACCGGTTGCCAAGCGTCCAATTTGGATCGCGTGATCAGAACGGGGAGGCTGTGGCAATCAGGAGTACTAATAAAGGAGAATATTTGTAGCTCAGGGTTGGCCTGAGGGGTCCTGGGTGCTTTCTGAGGTTTTCTTGCAGACGTTTAATGACCCGACTAGGTAACATCATCAGTGCTAGTGATGATGACCGTGATGACAACAAACTAGCACTGATGATGTTACCTAGTTGGGTCATGAAACGTCTGAGAGAAAACAGCCCAGCACCCTTCGCCATCATCCCAAGTGTGAAAAATCATTCACAAGTCAGCTTTTTGGGGGCCGTTTTCACTAGGAATGGTCGCTAAACGAACCTTCGTAAAGCCAGGGCTACCTCTGAACATGTCCGGGGGGAGGGGGAGTCTTAATGCGAGTGCCTTCCTCCTCCTCCTCCTCTTCCTCCTCCCATCCCAGATCGTGAACCTCATTGAAGAGACGGGGCACTTCAACGTCACCAACACGACCTTCGACTTCGACCTCTTCTCCTTGGACGAGACCACCGTCCGCAAGCTGCAGAGCTACCTGGAGGCGGTGGCCACGTGACCCTCGGCCTCGGGAGCAGGACCCACCCGCTTCTCTTCGGTCTCTCTGGGATTAGGAAAGGGGACCCCCCACCCCCGGACTACGGCCGCTGCCTTACTCTCTCCTTTCACCCGAAGCACTGCCTTAGGGATCAGCCACGCGCTAGGAAGACCCTGCCGCTGCCGCCGCTGCCCCTGACTCGGTTCTCTCCTTTCGGGCTTCAGCTGAGCGCTCGCCTCTGGCCACCGTCCTCTTGCCCCCCCCCCCATCCCACCCCCCCATTTGCTCTGGAACCACTTCGAGCGAAAGCAGGATTTGATGCCAGCTGGCCACCGTCTTCTCCTTCCAGCCTGGTCGTTTCAGAGCAAGAGAGTTTTGGGGAGGGAGTGTCGTTTGCAGATATAGGTCAGCCTGGAATGGACGCAGCGCTTACTTCCGTTGGACTTGCAGCCACTTCCACCAGGGTGGGTGCGTGTGGATGATCTGTGCCGGCACCTGCCCTCCACGGTCACCGGTCGGGTCAACGTTGGCCTTCCTGCAGCCATTATCGGTGGCCGGAGACTTCTGCCCTGCCAGCTGCCATGGGTCAAGGAGCCAGCGACCCCGCTGGATGTGCCCGTGCGGTGCGCTCGGACCGGGCAGAGTCTGGCACGCCGAGGTTCTTCGGCAAAAGATTTCCGGCCCTCGCGCGGCTGAAGACGCTTCCCTCGAGTCTTTTAAGGCGCCGCGGTTCTTGGTTCCCGGTTTGTTCCAGTTTTTGATCGGCTCGGACCGTAAGGACGACCTTAATTGTACGCTGTCTGTTTTCCACGCATACCTACAGATAACCCGGTCGCTATCTGTACGTATGTACCTATAATGTATTTACGGTGTAAAAAAAAGAAAGAAAGAAAGAAAGAAAAGGCCCCAACGGGCCTTGAGGTCTCAAAAGAGGGTTAGGGCGGAGGGCACGTTTGAAAGGCTTTTTTAAGATTTCTTTTTTTAAAAAAAAGGAAAAGGTGAAATAGGGCTTCGGGCTGCCTTCTGTCAGTTTGTTCAAAAGGGCGGGGTTTTTTAGCGTTTTAGAAGCGGGAGGGGGGAGTTGGGCCAAAGGCTCCCGGGGCCTTTTGTGCCGAGCGACAGACTCCCTCTGGGCTGCGTTTGTCGGTTTGTTCGTTTTTTTCAATTCGCCATCAGTGTTCAAGGAAAGTGTTTTTTTTTTTTTTTGGCCGAAATTGCCCTCCGGTGTGCATTGGTTGAGAGAAACCTCGTCCGCTCCGGGCTCCGCACCACCAGTTTGGAGGGAAAGAGGCCATCAGTCATGAAAACGTATGGGGGTTTCTTTTTCCCCTTTCTTCCTTTGGAAAATGCTCCTTTTGGTGATTCCCCAGGGTTTGCGAAAACGATTCTGATCTTCTCGGACAACCCATGGGAATATTTGTAAATATTCCTCGGAGTCCTCCCCCCCCTCCCCTTTTAGCATGTAGAGACGCGAGGAGGCGTCTGCAGGAAAGTTTTGTGTGGTCCCGTCCATGCCTTCTGGGAACGAAGCCCCCTCCCCTCTCTCCTTCCCAGTCTGGGGGCGGGAACTCCACCTTCGGCCGAAGATTACCGGCTTGTGTACCGGGGCAGAAAATACTGCCGGTGGCTAATATTTTGTATTTCGCTCTTTCTCAAGTTGCTCTTTCCTTTCGGGGGGGAATTGTCCCCCGCTTCCGGATCGTTCTTCCCCATCGCTTCCCTAAAAGACTGACGTGGCAATAAGCCGATCCGAGTGAGGTCATGTTGACCCTGTTCCGTGGTGAAACCCCCCCCCTTTTATTTTATTTTTTATTTTTGCTGTCTCTTTGTGTACACAATGTTGTTTGCAAAGGTTTTCGAGATGTTGCCCTGACATTTGGCAACGCCTCAAGCCAGGTGGAGATTTCCCAATTTGGCCAGCGAACAAAGCCTGGGCACGGCCAAACGGGCCAAAAACGAACCGGGCAGAAGCCCAGACCGCTTTCTCGGTGGCATCCCACGGGGCTGCCACGCTCTGCTCGACGAGCAACACTACTTCTGGGGCCAGCCCCTCCCTCCCCCCCGATCTGCTTGCAACCGCTGTAAAAATGGGTCCCTCCCAAAGCAAGGGCTGATCCGCCCCCCAAATCCCCCCATTTCGTTACAATCCCCCCACCCCACCCCCGTAGCTTTGAAGCTGCTTGGAAGAGAAAGAGGCTCCCGGGTGCTTCCAGAGGGCTGGGTCCCTGGCGCTTGGCTGGGAAGGTCAGAAGGGCTGGGGTGGGGGGGAAGAGGGGAAGGGTCCTCCTGAATTAATGCTCTGAACATCCCTGCCATTAAAGGGGAGGGGTCTCTTCCGCTGGAAGAAGGCCTCTGGAGAGCTGGCTTTGGAGACAGATTTCATCCTCGGGGTCACCATTGGTGTTTGTAGGTCCCCAAATTCCTTAGTTTCTCTACCTGACCAAAGCTGGATGCTTCGTGGTGGGGTGAGAGCGCCTGGCTGGTTGGCTGGCTGACCAGAGGACCCTCTCTTCTTCCCCCCTTCCCTGGCAGACGATTCTCTCTTAGGCGCGGCCGTGTTTTGTGGGTGTGATGTGATTGTCTCGTGCGTCGTCTCCTCTGCCCCTTCGGGCTTCCTGCTTTCAGCTTCCTCCCATCCGATGCTCGGGTAGACAACGCCCGTCCCGCTCTTCCGTAAGGTGGGGAAATTCAAGAGCGTTTCCACCAAGGTTGCAGAGGGTTGGTTTCGCCTCTGGGAAAAAAAATCACCGAAGAACTGGAAAGGTGGTCCAGTCCTCCAAGATTTGGCATTTTGGTAAAATCTTGGAAAACCTCAAGTTTCTGGGAGGGAGGCGCGAAACTTTTCCAATTCCAGCGCTGTTTTCCTCTCCCCTCTGGTTTCCCTTTTGCTTTCCTTGTTTCCAAAGGAAATTTGCGTCTCTGTACAGACCACAGCGCAATTTTTGTGTGGATCGTATTTCAGATATTAATTCCGGACCGTGTTGAGTGCTGAGAGTGGGCAAGTGGCAACTTCCTAATCCAGGCCAAGGATCCCCCCCCAAGCATGGCAACTTTTAAGACGCGTGGACTTCAACTCCCACGATTCCACACCTCTTAAAGTTGCCCAGTTCACTTCCCCTGCCGGTTTGGGCTAGTCTGGAAGCCGCCAAGCGAAGCAGTGCAAAAATCCAGGGGCCTCGGAAGCCACCTCTCTGCTCCCAGGGATTTAATCGGGGGGGGGGGCACAACTCAAAACACATCAGGGGCATTTCATTGGGGGGGGCTTCTCCTGGCACATTGTCCTCTCGAAGCAAAAGTGGACTTTGTGCTTCGGGTCAACCAACCTTGGCGATCAGCCCTTGCAAACGTGGCATGGCCGGCCTTCCTCTTTTTTGCCCGTCGCCGAAATAAATAATTGACAAAAAATGGGTGATTTCCAGGGACGAAGCGACCTAGGGCACAAAATAACCTGAGTATTTTTAGCGGCATGGCCCTTCAGCAAAGCTGCTCTTTGACCCCCGCTTAAGACGCTTCTCCGTTTCGCCAGAACAAAAGTATTTCACAAGTAGCGTTAGGTTTTTTTCCTTCCTCGGTTTCCCGTTCGTCCCCGGTTTTGGCAGCCGGGAGGATTCGTAGACTGGGTTTTTCTGCTGGTGGGGACGGGCGGACACACACACACACACACACACACACACGTATGTCTCCAGAAATGTGGACAGCTGCTGTTTGCGCTCAGAGTGAAGGTCCCCCCTCCCCCTTTAGAACCACTTCACCTTGTAAAAAAGAGCTCCTCTTTTGCCCTCTTCTCTTGAGGAGCCGTTCTTGCGGGACCCCTCAATGGGAGGGGCTTGTCTGCAAAGCCCACCCTCTTTCCCCCCCCCCAAACACTTGACCCACCGAACTCTCTCCCCAAACACGAGGGCCCTCCCCACCTTTCGAAGCACCCACATGTTTTCACGGAGCCGGAAGTGGTCAGTCGGGGGGGGAGGGGTGTCCCAACCTTTGAAGACTTGTGGACTTCAACTCCCAGAAGTCCACTGGCTGGGGGAATTCTGGGAGTTGAAGTCCACAGATCTTCTGATTTGGACGCCCCTTTTGTAGATTGAACGGATCCTCCCTAAATCCTAAATTTGGATTTTTATTATTTTGGGTCAGATGTGCCATTTCAGGGATGTTTTCCCCCCTCGCATCCGTTCTTTTGGTATTTTGTAAAAGTTAAGGAAAAAAAAGTATTTTGGAGAGCAATCTCCTACAGGATCAACTGATCCCCCTCAGTTTTGCAGTTCGTTTCTTTGGGGGGGGTGGCCCCCCCATGCTTTTTATGGAGATTTCTAATCTCCCAGCCAGGTGAGCTCCGTAGGGCCTTTCTCTGCTCCTTGCTTTGACCAGAAGCATCACAACGGTAGGTAACTACAATGAAGCATCTCTCGTTATTCCCCCCCACCCCCTGTTTTCATTGCCAAGTGCGTCAATCCCCCCCCCACCTGTCCCATCTCAGGTTCTCCCCGTGGGTGGAGATGGGGGCGAGGGGGGGGGCTGGGACCGGTCTGGCCTTGAGAACAAAAACGGGGGATTTTGCACCCTCAAAACGAACAAGTCCTTAAGGCAAGTATTGGAACGCTTCGGTTTCTCTCTCCCGGAGCGAAGGTATTAAATCAACCCAGGCGCGTTAAAAATTGGTTTTTAAGGGAAAAAAAAACAAAAAAAAGTCAGGGGTGGGGAGGGAAATGTTTGTAATAAGTTATGGGATTGTGGTCATTTTTTTTTTTGTTTTTTGGGGTCCTGACTTTTAAGCTTTTTTTGTTACATTTGTGGAAATTTATGGAGGAGTTTTATAGGAAAAATTTAAAACAAAAAAAAAAAGAGAGAACCTGAAATAAAAGGTGAAAGTTGCAATCTGGAGGGGATGTCATTTTTTTTTTCCTCTTGGGGGGAGAAGAGGGGGGCTTTGGCATCAAGACAGGTGTGCCCATCCAGCTGTGGACATTTTGAGGGCTCGGCTGGTTCTTCACTCTTCCCCCCCTCCCCAGCCCCCTCCTCGTGAACCAGAAAGGAGCCCAAAGGCAGTGAGGCCTCGCGTGTCCAGGTGAGCCTCATTCACCCACCTGGAAGGGGAGGGGGGTCTCCCTGAGAGCAGGGCAGGTGAGAGGGAAGGAGGGGTCTCCACCTAACTCCCTTGACTCTTAACTGCCTGCTGTGTCATGGTCTGGAAGAAGACAGGGAGGAAAAGGAGGGAGGGAGGAAGAAATGGGGTAGAAAGATAAAAGGGAGGGAGGAAAGAAGGACGGTGAAAAGGGAAGGGAGGAAGGAGAAGAAGAAAGGAAGGAAAGGAGGGAGGGAGGAAGAAATGGGGTAGAAAGATAAAATGGAGGGAGGAAAGGACGGTGAAAAGGGAAGGGAGGAAGGAGAAGAAGAAAGGAAGGAAAGGAGGGAGGAAGAAATGGGGTAGAAAGATAAGAGGGAGGGAGGAAAGAAGGACGGGGTGAAAAGGGAAGGGAGGGAGGAGAAGAAGGAAGGAAAGGAGGGAGGGAGGAAGAAATGGGGTAGAAAGGGGAGGGAGGGAGGAAAGAAGGACGGTGAAAAGGGAAGGGAGGAAGGAGAAGAAGAAAGGAAGAGAAGGAGGGGAAGGAGAAAGGGGGAGGAAAGGGAGGAGAAGAGAGGGATGTCACCTTGTAGCTTGACTACTGCAATCTGGTCAGTGTGGGGCTGCCCTTGAAGGCCACCGAAAGCTGCAGCTGCTCCAGAAGGCAGCCAGGTGGGCAGTGAGGGACATGCCCCACAAGCCTCACTGACTACCAGTTGGCTTCTGGGGGCAGGTCAAGGTGCCCGGGGCGACCTCTAAAGACCGACACGGCGCAGGGCCCAGAGACTTCAGGAACCGCCCGTCTCGGAGCAGCTGCCGGTAGTTCTCAGACATGGTGGCTGCGCCATCAGCTATGCCTCCCCCCCCGCCTCCTCTGCCACACTGCCTGCTATTTATATATTCATATTCAACCTGTTCTCCAAAGCCCCCGAAGGCCAGACAAGGAAGAACGGATGGAAACTGATCAAGGAGAGACTCAACCTGGAAATGAGGAGGAATTTTCCTGACGGGGAGAACGGTTAACCCGTGGAACTGCTTGCCACTGGACGTTGTGGCAGCTTCATCCCTGGAGGCTTTCAAGAAGAGACTGGACTGCCCTCTTGTCAGAACTGGTGTAGGTAGGGTCTCCTACTCGAGCAAGATCCCTTCCAACGCTCTCTTTCTCTTACGTTTGATGGGCTTCTACTAACCTACTTGAAATGAAATTTATTTTGGATGGTCCCTGTACGATACGCCATATGCTAAATATGGCATGTGGGCCTCAGATAAATGTAATGAATAATAAAAAAAATACTTCAAGCACCCACTACGGCAGTGTTTCTCAACCTTGGAAGCTTGAAGATGGGTGGACTTCAACTCCCAGAATCCCCCAGCCAGCGCTGCTGGCTGGGGGATTCTGGGAGTTGAAGTCCACCCATCTTCAAGCTTCCAAGGTTGAGAAACACTGCACTATGGCAACTTTACAAGCTGTGGACTACAACTCCCAGAATCCCTGGCTGGCTCAGGAATTCTGGGAGTGGAAGTCCGTAAGTCGTAAGGTTGCTATACGGACAGTCCTCGACTTACCACCACCGCTGAGTCCAACGTTTCTGTTGTTAAGCGAGACGTCTTAAATGAAGTTTTGCCCCATTTTACGACCTTTTAAGCCCCCGCTGGTTAAGTGAGCCACTGAAGTCGGTAGCCCGCCTGTTAAGTGAATCCGGCTTGCCCGTTGCTTATCAGGCGGTCGCAAAAGGGGATCACACCATACCCCACCCCCCTTCACCCCCTCTGGGGACACTGCGACCGTCGTAAACACGGACCTGTTGCCAAGCGTCTTGAATTTCGATCGCGTGACGACGGAGCTGCTGCATCTCTTGAAAAACGGCCCCAAGTCCCCTTTTTCAGTGACGTAGCTTTGAATGGTCACTAAGTGAACCGTGGTAAGTCGAGGACCACCTGTAGTTGTAAAAAGGTAACAGGAAGAGAGTGGTGTTAAGTCTCCAGTAACCAAGATTTCTTTTTTTAAAAAAAAGGACAAACCCTTTTAAACGAACACGTCTTATTCAAAGGGAGAAAATTTCCATATTATTGGACTTCTGCAAGAACCCAAGCTGTGAGAAGGGTTTTTTTTTTTTAACTTTAATTTTATTTATTTATTTGACTCAAAAGATCGATACGGTTGCCCAGATTGAACAATGCGGCTCTCGGCAGTTTACAAGCAGAACCTACCGAGCTAATCTCCTTTGGAAAACAACAGTAACGGCTCGCATTTGTAGCCTCCGGGCGTTTATTTATTAACTAAAACTAATAAAATCTTATTTTTAATGTGGTCTGGGGAAACAATTGGGTTTTGAAGGCTGGCTTCCACCAAGACAGGTTTTTCCTGTTTTATTCTCTTGTTTTGGTTAGCAAGTCCTGTGCGTTTATATGGAAACTGATCGATAAATAAGATTTCCCTACGTGAACAGGAAGACGGGAAGCCCGCTCCTCTCCAGAAAATGTGGATTTTAGCCCTGCTCGGTTGACGTCTTCCTTGGCGCGCCAAGCGATCTTTCCTGATGGGAAATCCAACAGCTGCTCTCAACCTGAATTTCACCTTATCTACCTGCCGTGATCAGATCCTAATCCATCACAGCTTCCCTTTTGTCTGCTGATCATTTTTTTTTTTAATTAAAAGTTTGTTTATACGCAGGCGTGGGAGAGCCCAGCAGCTGAAAAGGTGCCCAGGTTTTTGAGGTAGGCAGGCAGACGGACGGACAAAAGAGCCCGAGGGGGGGGGAAACTAGGCCAGCCACTCTCTTAACCCCTGCAGATTAGACAAACCTAGTTTGGTGGTTAGTTTGTACATCAGATTTGGTTAAAGCGGTAACAGGGATTGGGGTTCTTCTGTGTGTGTGATAGGAAGCTGGAACACTGGGCTAAAGAAGCTATGACCCAAACTAGGTAACATCAGTGCTAATCCTGATGATGTTCCCTAGATGGGTCATGAAACGTCTGCAAGAAAACAAGGCAAGCTCAGAAAGCACCAGCGCTCCTCCTCTTCTTTCTCCTCCTCCTCTTCTCCCTCCAATCCTTCCCTTCCTCCTCCTCTTCCTCTCCGCCAACCCCTCGTCCCTCCTAGCACCGATGACGTTCCCTAGTTGGGTCAGGAAACGTCTGCAAGGAAACCACTAAGCTCAGAGGGCACCAAGGACCCCACAGTCCTCCTCCTCCTCTCTGCTAACCCCTCCTAGCACTGATGCCGTTGCCTAGTTGGGTCAGGAAACGTCTGCAAGGAAACCGCCAGGCTCCAAGAACCTCCTCATTTCAACCCTCTTCCCAACTGGTGCAGAGTGCGGCCGCGCGGGGGATTATGGGAGCAATGGGGCGCTCCCATGTGACACCTCTCCTGCGTGAGCTGCATTGGCTTCCAGTGGACTTCCGGGTGCGCTTCAAGGTGTTGGTTACCACCTTTAAAACGCTCCATGGCTTAGGGCCTGGGTACTTACGGGACCGCCTTCTGCCACCGATAGCCTCCCACCGGCCAGTTCGCTCCCACAGAGAGGGCCTCCTCAGGGTGCCGTCGGCCAGGCAATGTCGGCTGGCAACCCCCAGGAGGAGGGCCTTCTCTGTGGCAGCTCCTGCCCTCTGGAACAACCTGCCCCCCGGAGATACGTAGGATACCAGATCACCGTGCTTTTCGCCGTGCCCTAAAAACTTTTCTATTTCATCAAGCTGGGCTGGCGTAATCCCCCTCCCCCCTTTAGATATTTTTAATTGTAAATGGATTTTAGTCGGGAGGTTTTAAATTTTGGGCCAAAATTTGTTTAATTCTTTTAAAATTTAAAATTTTGTATTGGGATGTTTTTTATTCTAGGCTGTGCATCGTCCTGAGTCCAGCAGGAGAAGGACGGTATAAAAATTTAATAAAATAAAATAAAATAATAAATAAATGAATATTCTGATATTCTTCTCATTCAAAGAGGGGACCTCAAGGCATATCTGACATCCCCTTTATAGTTTAAGACATCGAACAAAATGCCAGAGAAAAGTTGATTGGACAAAAGTAATTTCCCCTTTGCATAGTAAACCAGCTACATGTATTCAAACATGTTACATGTATGTCCATTGAAAGGAGGTCTGACCACAGAAGGGGCACAAAATGGAAGATACTAATGAGGAAAGAGCTGGTTTGACCTTCACAAAGGGAAAAAAATAGACACCAATTAGCAGTAATCAGCTTTTTCTTATCAGGAGGCATTTTCCAGACATCCCCTCCTACAACTTATCTTTTCAGTTAAAAATGTCAGAGGCTGTCAATCAATCAATCCATCCATCCATCCATACAGCAATAGGATAAAGTTTTCCCACTTTCCATTCTGTAACTGTTTGTTAAACCCTTATCACCATTTTAAGAGAGAGAAAAATAAGTCAAATCGAAATGCAAAAATAACCATTTGAGTTAACAAGTCGAACAATACAGGCAGACCTGACGTACGACCACAACTGAGCACAAAATCTTCCGTCGCTAAGGGAGACGTTTGTGAAAGTGAGTTTTGCCCCATTTTATGACCTTTCTTGACACGGTGGTTAAGCGTGAACCTGGCTTCCCCGCATGGCGTTAGTATGTCAGGAGGTCGCAAAAGGGGATTGCATGACACATCCCGAGACACTGCCACCGTTGTAAGCGTGAATCCGAAGCATCTGAATTTGGATTGCGTGACCATGGGGACGCTTGAAAGGATCGAATACGTGAAGATTTTTTTTCAGTGCCCTTGTTAACGTTGAACGGGGACTAAATGAACTGTTGTAAATTGGGGGTTACCTGTAAAACGGTATTACAAATAATAATACGGTATTATTGCTATTCTGGCAGGGTGGGAAGGTGGGTTTGTCTACATCAGTGTTTCTGAACCTTGGCCGCTGGACGATGTGTGGACTTCAACTCCCAGAATTCCCCAGCCAGCAGAGCTGGCTGGGGAATTCTGGGAGTTGAAGTCCACACATCGTCCAGCGGCCAAGGTTCAGAAACACTGCTCTACATGGTGGCAGAAAGCAAAAAAGATGGGGAGGGGTGCTTTCGTCCTTCTGCCACTGCCCCCCTTTGCCCACTGACCACCCAGCCGATGCCAGCCTTCCCTCCCCTTGGTGCGGGGGGGGGGGGATCCACCCACTCAACCCAAAAGCTGCTATGACTCAGGGTTGTATAAACAGAGGCATAGGATCAAAATCACGTGAAGTATTCATACCCCCTTTGTAAAACTTTAGTAAGGCCACCCCTGGATCCGATTTTGGTCACCACCTTACAGAAAAGAGGTTGAGACTTTGGGAAAAGTGCCGAGAAGAGCAAGTCGGATGATCAAACGGATGAATTGGCTCTGGCCAGTCTACAGAAAATAAGGACCGGGGGGGGGGGACATGATAGCATTCCAGTATTTTGAGGGGCTGCCCCAAAGAGGAGAGGGGGGAGTTCTCCCTATTCTCCAAAGCCCCGGAAGGCAGGACAAGAAGAAGCGAGGGATGGAAACCAATCAAGGAGAGAAGCGACCTGGAATTAAAAGAGTAGCTTCCTGACAGTCAGGACAATCAACCAGCGGAACTGCTTGCCACCAGAAATGGTGGGTTCTCCATCTCTGGAGATTTTTGAACAAGTGAATGGACAACCATTTGTCTGAAATGCTACAGGTCTCCTGATTGGCTGGGGGGGGGGCGCTTCAGGCCGCGCCATTCACAAAAAATCCACCGTGGCTGACTTCCTACGCTACTTCCTTCTCCGCAGGGCGGATAGAGCCCCGCTCCCGCCTGATGCAATCGGCCCGGCACGTGCGTCTCTCCCAGCAGCGCCCCCCCTCCTGCCCCCCCCACCACCACGCCACGTGGGCTGCTCTTCCATCCCTCCCTCCGTCCAACCAGCCTCCATTCATTCATTCATTCATTTGAATCTCACCAGGCTCCAGGGGGACTCAGCCTTGCAGCCTTCCCAGGTTTCTAAAATGAGGAGCCAGATTGTTGGGGGGCAAAGAGGCTGACTCTGTAAACCGCTTAGACTGCAGTGTTTCTCAACCTTGGAAGCTTGAAGATGGGTGGACTTCAACTCCCAGAATCCCCCAGCCAGCGCTGCTTCAAGCTTCCAAGGTTGAGAAACACTGGCTTAGAGGGAGCTTTGAAGCCCTTGGAAGCGGTAGATAAGTCTAAGTGCTAAATGGGGAGGGAGGGAGGGGCAAGAGGCTGACTCTGTAAGCCGCTTAGAGAGGGCTGTAAAAGCACTGTGAAGCGGTATATAAGTCTAAGAGGTAAGTGGGAAGGAAGGAAGGAAGGAAGGAAGGAAGGAAGGAAGGAAGGAAGGAAGGAAGGGGCAAGAGGCTGACTCTGTAAGCCGCTTAGAGAGGGCTGTAAAAGCACTGTGAAGCGGTATATAAGTCTAAGAGGTAAGTGGGAAGGAAGGAAGGAAGGAAGGAAGGAAGGAAGGAAGGGGCAATAGGCTGACTCTTAAACCGCTTAGAGAGGGCTGTAAAAGCACTGTGAAGCGGTATATAAGTCTAAGAGCCAAGTGGGAAGGAAGGAAGGAAGGAAGGAAGGAAGGGGGGGCAAGAGGCTGACTCTGTAAGCCGCTTAGAGAGGGCTGTGAAGCATTGGGAAGCGGTATATAAGTCTAAGGGCTATTGCTATTCAGCCATCCATTCAGCCAGCCAGCCGTTCATTCATGCTTTCGGGCGGGAGGTCAACGACCGCGAGTAACTCGGCACGCGCGCCCCGCCCTCCTCCTCCTCCTCCCCTGAGCCCCGCCCCTTTTGGCTTCCCGGAGGCACGAGCCACTCCCCCCCTCTCCAGCTGTCCCGCGCAGGCCCCGCCCACGCCCCTCCCTCCCTCCCTTTTTCAAAAGCAGCCGGCTCGGGGGAGCGGCGCTTACTGGAGGCGCTGGAGGCGAAGGGTGAGTGTGCGGGACGGGGCGCGGGGCTGAGCGGCTTTGCGGGGCTGCCTGCTGGGGCGTCCCGGGCTCTGGGAGGGGGCTGGACGGGGCTCCCCTCGTTGCCCCCTTCCCCCCCCAACCCCCAAACCCGGCCCTCGGGGGCAGAAGCGGCTTCCCGGGACTTCGCCAACCCGGCGCCCGCCAGCTGCTTTGGGAGCCCGGCTGCCCGAGGGGAGGTCCGGCGCGGGCTTTGCTGGCTTGCAAGGCGGCCGCCTCTGGCCAGCTCTCCCGCCCGGCGCCGCCTGGGAGGCCGAGGGGAAGCCCAGGATCCTCGGAGGAGGAGGAGGAGGAGAAAAAATCCCCAGCCGAGTCCTCGGGTTCGGTGCTCAGCTCTATTGACGCCGTTCTTACGTTCGGCGTGTAACGGGGAAGCGAGCTCCTCCTCCTCCTCCTCCTCCTCCTTTTCCCCACAACAACCCTGTGAGGTGGGAATGGGGGTCCAAAGTCAACCAGGAACTCGTGGTGGGTCCAAAGTCACCTAACCATCTTTCGTGGCTAAGGAAGGAACTAGAACTCCCCGTCTCCTGATGACTGGCCTAAAGTCACCCAGCCTTCTTGGATAACAGTCGGGAGGGACCTTGAAGGGCTTCTAGTCCAACCCCCTGCCGGGCCATTTCGGACAAACGGTTGACTTTCACAGCTAAGGCAGGACTAGAACTCGCCGGCACCTGGCGACCGTCCCAAAGCCAGCAAGCCGGCCGGCCATCTTCCTTAGCTAAGGCAGAACTAGAAGTCCCCGTCTCCTGCTCTCTAGCCTGCTGCTTTAACCACTAGGCCAAATTTTTTTATTTATTTATTTATTTTTATATGCCGCCCTTCTCCGGAGACTCAGGGCGGCTTACAATGCGTTAAGCAATAGCCTTCATTCTTTTGTATATTTTATACAAAGTCAGCTTATTGCCCCCACAAACTGGGTCCTCATTTTACCCACCTTAGAAAGGATGGAAGGCTGAGTCAACCTTGAGCCTGGTGAGAATTGAACTCGCAGTAATTGCAAGCAGCTGGATGTTAAATGCTGCCTTAGTAGGAGGCATTAGCCTCCTACGCCACTCAGGCTCAAATACATCCCCTTTGCTGCTCTCTCCCTCGATGGAAGGAGGGGACCCCTCAATGACCCCTTCGGTCAGAACCCCTCGCCCCTCTTCTCTGGCTCTTTCTTCCTCCCCATGGGTTCCTTGGTGGGGGGGGTTCTTTGCATTTCATCATTCCAGCGGCTCCTTGAAACAACCCTCCCCGTAAGGCCTGTGGGGCCGGGGATGATGGGAGGTGGTGGCCCTCCCATCTGGAGGACTTGCCAGCCCTTCGGAGGGGAGGCGGGGCAGACTGGAGAGAACTCAACTGTCACCTTGTTGCCAGGGGCTGCAGATGCGAATCTTGCTAGGCTGGTTGGGCCACTCCTCCCCGCCCTTCTGATGGCCAGAAAATGGGGAGACCCCTTCTTAACCCACCCTGCCCCCCCCGTCCCCCTCCCCACCAGCCTCTCCTAATCCCCATCTCCCTTCCCAGACCTCCAGGAAAGCTTCGTCGTCCTCTCCTTATTTTCCTATATATTCTCTCTCCTTTCCTTTCAGACGGACCCCCAGTGTGCAGAGGGAGAAAAACGAGGGGACCCCAAAATTGGGAGGGGTCGGGGGGGCGGCCTTTCCCTACTCTCAGATTTTATCCAGAAGCTTTAGGGAAGCGGGGCAGAATTAAAACTCAACTGGGAGGAGAAAGCTCTTCTTAGGAATAATTCCCAGCCATTGAACCATTGAAAACAACCCCTGGCTGTTGGTTTACATGGTTTTTCTCGCTGTGGGTCCTTCAACACAACACGGCTTGTGCTCTCACACGGCTGGGCGAGGGTGCAAAGCCAGGCGTGACAAGCGGATCGTTCTTTTGCCGAAAACATTTCCTCCTTTCGAACAATGCCTCTGATTGATTAGCGGCAACGGCCGGTTATGGTTATACAACCGGGCGCACGTGGGGAGGTTATTCCGCCGTGATGACAACCGGGAAGAAGTCCTCCTCCCCATATTCAGAGAAGGGGGCGGGCCCTGGAGGGCTGTGGCCCATGGGGGATGATGTCCCAATCGATACGGAAGGGGGAATTCATGGGGAAGAGAAACTGGGCGCGCCTCGATCTCGCTCGACTCACAGACGCGAGGGAGCCCCACATGTTGGCTTGGTGAATTTTGCTCTGTTTTACAAACTCTTCTTGCCGGCGTTGTTAAGCGGACCGCTGCAGTGGTTCAGTTAGCGACACGTTGTTGAGTGAATCCGGCTTCCCTGTCAACTTTGTCCGTCAGAAGGTCTCGAAAGGGGGATGCCGTGACCCCGTCATCAATATGAGCCAGTTGTCCGGCATCCAGATTTTGATCGCTTAGCCATGGCGGGAGGGGATGCTGCAATGGTCGTAAGAGTGAAGAACAGCCATAAGTGTGAAAAACAATCAAGTCGCTTTTTCTGGTGCCGTCGTAACTTCGAACTGTTGTAAGTCAAGGACTGGCTGTGTTCTGTGGCCATTAATGGGGTTCCTGCTTGTTGTGCCTTGTCTCAACTGAGCAGCTTGAAAGAACAATTAGGGGCACACGCGTGTGCAGCCTCTTGCTCCCGGGAATGAAGGTGCCAGAACTCTCGTGGGGAGGGGGCCTTAGTTCTACAAAGACCCCTTCAGAAGCCTTCCTCCTGGTGGGTCTGCCACTTCTGGAGCTTCTTCTCTACTTGCCGGTAAGCCCCCCACCATGTGGGACCTCTGGAACGAAGAGGGACAAGCACCGTCTCCAGGTAGAGACCCCTGCCCCAAATCTTTCAGCCGCTCGCTGTGGGTGCTTTTGCTTTGCCCCCATCCTGATCTCAGGTGTTCAGGATGCCTCTGGGTAGCAATCTGGGGGGTCCTGGGTGCTCCTCTGGGCCTGGTGGTTTGTTTGCGGACGTTTCGTGACCCAACTTAGGTAACGTCATCTGTGCTAGAAGGGAAGAGGGGTTGGCAGAGAGGAGGAGGAGGAAGGAGAAGAGGAAGAAGAAGAGGAAGAAGAAGAAGGGGAAGAAGGAGAAGAGGAAGAAGGAGGAGGAGGAGGGGCTGGTGCTCTGGGAGCTGGGTTGTTTTCTTGCAGGAGTTTCATTAACCAACTAGGTAACATCATCAGTGCTGGAAGGGAGTAGCAGTTGGCTCTCTGTTGATATAGTAACTACTGGGTTACCCTCTCCGTGTTGGTGAGAAAGTGTTTTCTTTTCCCTTTGGTAGTTCCTTGGTTAGGGTGTTGCTTATCTGTTTGTCTGGTATTAATCCCTGCTTCTCTGAGTCCTTGATGTTTCTAAGCTTGCCTACCTTTCATTGCCCAACTAGGTAACACAATCAGTGCTAGAGGGAATTAGCCATCAATCTTCTCTTTGGAAAAGAAGTGCATCTCTAAAGATCACCTGTCCGTTGCCCCAAATTCGCCCCACCTTTAATGCAATATCTCTGGCCTTCTTTCCTCCTGCTTTGAAATCGGAATTTCTCAATGCAAGTAGTCCCTGATCCCATTTAAAAGCAGAAAGGAGTAATTTCCTCACATTGTAGAATTCTAGGGCTGGGAGGGCCCTTGAGGCCGTCCAGTCAACCCCCACCCCGCTTGCTCAAGGCAGGAATCCCAGTTAAAAGCCTCCTTGCTCAACCTTTGCGTGAAGAGGTGCTCGCCAGATCCCTGGGAAAGTGATCCCGCTCTGGGATCACTTGGGTAGATGATATGCTGTCACTTCAGTGAGACTCTTAGCAACCACAACACAGATAAGTCCTCAACTTACAACAGTTCGTTTAGTGACCATATGAAATTACAACATCACTGAAAAAGGGACGTATGACCATTTTTCACACTTACGCCCATCGGAGAATCCTCATGGTCACGTGATCAAAATTTTGGATGCTCAGCAGCTGACTCGTAGTTATGACCGTCACAGGCTTCCGGGATCACATGATCCTCTTTTGCGACCAGCAAAGTCCATGAGGAAGCTGAATTCACTTAACAACCGTATAACTCCCTTAACAACTGTGACGAAGCGTTTAACAATTCTGGCAAGAAAGGTTGTAAAACAGGTCAAAGCTCACTCAGCAACAGTCTTGCTCAGCAATGGAAGCTTTGGGCTCAGTTGTGGTCGTAAGTCGAGGACTACCTGTAGTTAGACTGGGTCTTGAAAGTAGGGTTTTTTTCTCTTGGTTTTCTGTCGGACTCTGGCTCTCCTGGGACTGAAGCCCCCTCAGATGCATCCTATTTATTTTATTTATTTATTTGTTCAACTTGTATGCCGCCTTTCTCCGAAGACTCAAGGCGGCTTACAATGCATTTAAAAATCATATATATAAACATTAAACATTAAAACATTAAAAACAATTAATTTTTACAGGAAAGGAGGGGGTCTTGACCTGCTTAGATATTGGGTGGGGGGCACCAATCTTCTCTTTTCCTTCCATCTCTTGGTTAATACAGGGAGTCCTCGACCTATGACCACAATGGAGTCCCAAAATTATGTTGCTAAGTGAATAATATGATTTATTGGGTTAGGGATTTTTTGTCTTCACTGTGAGTTGTATTGTGTTGGGGGGGGGTGCACTGAGGGAGCTCCACCAATCTCCTTGTACATACGTTGTGCGCTGACAATAAAGATTTGAATTGGAATTGAAATGAAACATTTGGTTAGGTGAGTTTTGCCCCATTTTATGACTTTTCTTGCCACGGTTGTTAAGTGAATCTTTGCAATTGTTGAGTTAGTAACCCGGTGGTTAAGTGAATCTGGCTTCTCCCCCCCCCCTCGATTTTGCTAATCAGAAGGTCTCAAAAGCACATCCCGTGACTCCAGGATGCCACAACCGCCATAAATACGAGTCGGTGGCCGAGCTTCTGAATTTTGATCCCTTGACTGGGGAGGCTGCCATGGTCCCCCGTCTGAAAAACGCTTCTGGGTTGCTTTTTTTAAGTGCCATCCAAACTTGGAAGGTGGTT